CACATCACACCTGTCATTTCGCCCCGGCAAACGAATTGGATACCCCCAGGCTAGCCTAGGTCCTCCAATAGAGAGGTTAGAATAAGGGTACCCGATTTTTTCTGTAGTCTATCTTAGTAAGGGAACCCTCCCCCCAAAAAAGGAAACGGCTTAAAAAGGGCACCTAGGGGGACCCAGACGCCTTCCCACCCGACTTTGATCCATTGCCCAAAAGTCGCGCCTGCGCCGGAAATACGAGCAAACTCCTCGCGGCCCGAAGCGCCCGGGGCCCTGCAGGGCGCGGTCCTGAAGGGGCGATTTTTCGACTTCTCAGGCCCAAGAAAGCCCCAGCAAACCAGCAGCCGCTCGCTTCTTGGCTGGAATTAGGACCCCAGAAGAAGAAGAATACAAGGAATATACATATATATATATATGTGATATGTTTTGCCTGGTTAGAAAACAAAGGGGATCCCAACAAAGCAAAAAAAAATATATATATATATTAAAAAAGAAGGGGAGCTAACCCTGGGGAAGGCTTATAAGGGGGTTTTCAGGTCTTCGGGTTTGGATGTATGGTAACCTCCATACCTCCCAGCCCATTCTTGCTTGCCCGTGATAAATCCCCCGCCACAATTATACCAGGAGCAACTGGCCTGAGTACCCATCTTGACTGCTCCATTCCCAATTCCCCGTGTACCCAAAGACCGCGAAAGCATCGGTGAAGGGCCCTTTGAACATACGCCGTCCCTTACATACTGTGGATGGACGAAATCTTGCACCACCTAAGAAACCCTGGAATGATGATTCCGCTGCAAATGCCAACAAGCAACGGTTTCCCATGGTTTCCAAGGTGGTGCAGGATTTCGTCCATCCACAGTAGAGGATTGAATTCCCTTGGCTTTAGTAAGGTGTGGGGGAATAGCACCTTCAGGCCTACCTAGGGGGCGTCCCTCAACTCACTTCCCGGATGAACTGACCAGAAATGAGTCTGCACTTTTTAAGTTTCCTTCAAAAGAGTCTTTCCAATAACACATTCATGAATTCAGGGATTGAGTCAACCTAAGTTGTGAGTAAAGCACAACTCGTGTGAATCGATTCAAAAACTGTACCTAGGAGCCAAAGCCAATAGCCTGGTAATATTGTCCGCTGCTCACGTGTAGGATTGGGTGGTCATTAAACGGGTTCCAACAAATGGGTGTGCCTCCAATTTGAGAGCTAGGGCAAACTGCAGGTTTTAGTCTTTGGTTCCATTTTTGCTTGGTGCCATTTTAGTCTCCATGCTTTTGAGCCACAGCCAAATGAGCTCCGGGATGCTACACATGTTGGGCATCTTTTCCCCTTAGAACCTGTTCAGGCTCCGCTCGGGGTCCGAGCGGACCAAAAAATGAAGGCCCGGGAGTGCCGGTGCCAGTTGTGTGTTGACTCACTCCAAAATGAGCCGGAAAAGGGAAAGGTGGAATCCACCCAGAGGCTCCTGGCTTCGGCTTTCAATGGAAGACCCGACCCCTCCATTAGACACCCCGGAGGTGTGTGGGGGTCTCAAAACCTGGCTGTTTGTGGGCCCTAAATACATAAGGATCCTCTGGGTAGGGAAAACCAAGCAGGTACCCGCTTTGGATCTTCCTGGATTTTGAGACACAAACTTGCCCACCTGCGAAACTTCACCCGTCCTTGGCGCAAGAGTTGCAGCACCTAGGTGGTTCCAGGCGCCCAGTGCCAAACATATTTTTGGACCAAGTCTAAGCTCCAAGTGAGGCCTGGAGAACCCGGGGTGAGGCGCGGCCTGGAGAATTCGGGGGTGAGGTCTGGAGAAGACGGGGGTGAGGCCGGTGTCAAAAGGACCTATTTTGGGGCCCCATATTCCATCAGGACCAAAAAAAGGCGAGAAATCGAAGGCTCCAAGAGGAAGCCCCAACCAAAACCAACAATGGCGTTCGGAAAATCGTGTGACTCTGCAAGGAGTAACCATGCCACAGCGGCCATGCCTGCCTGCCAAACTACTCCGCCCCTTCACGCTCTTTCGATCCCCTGAGCGCTTAAGTAGAATGCAGTTCCATCCTGCAGCCGAAACTGCCCGAGAAGTTGAACCACAACGTGTGGTGATTGCTGACCAACGATTTCCATAGGAAACCTCCATGGGTAAGGGGACAGCCCACGCCATACCACAACACAAACCCAAGCCCAAGCAAATTCTACCACTGCAAAGCCCAGGTTTGTCCCTAGTACTTTGAGTTGCTGCAAGGTGCCGCCTCAGCAAAACACTCGACTAGTGGCTGCCCCCTCCAGAGACTCCTCTCCGCCAACCCGCTTCAGAAGCTATTCGTAGGGTTCCCTCGATTTGCTGTTACAGAGGAAACTCTGATAACTTGGCCCCGAAGGCAAAAGGACCCTGCACCTTGCGGTTGGAAACCCTGTTCCAGTTTCTACCAACTTGGGTCGAAGAGCAACTTTGTTTGAGCGACCGATTTCTACCCACTTGGGTCGAAGAGCATATGCTTGAGTGACAAACTTCTGCCAACTTGCGAAGTGTATATTTTTTGAGTGCCAAGTTTTTACCGGCTTGGGTCGAAGAGCATATGTTTGAGTGCCAAGCTTCTACCAACTTGAATCGACGAGCAACTTTTGTCAGTGACAAATGCCTAGCCACTTGGGTCGAAGAGTAATTTTGCAGGGGACCAAACTTCTACTAACTTGCATCAAAGAACCATTTTGCTGGGTGCCAAGCTGCTGTGTTTCTCACTCCCTGAATGGATTGACCAAGAAAAGACAATCTATGGGTGGACAAAATCCTGCACCACCTAAGACGTGGCACCCCTGTAAAAATGCCAGCCAACGTCACGCTTTCCGCTGGTTTCAAAGTGGTGCGAAATGGTTTTCGTCCATCCACAGTATTCACATTTGTTTTCCCAAAAAGCTTCAAGTCCTGCAACACAGGGAGTGAGCTTGTCAGGGTCGGAGAAATGCAAACCCCCATGCTTAGGAATGGAAAAAGGATTCGCAGAATCAGGTCCAAGCACCCCATGGTTCCCCCTCCAAAACACTAACAGTCGCACACAACTCGGAACGTTTGAGTGGTTGATCCAAATTGCCCAAGTGTTGGGGCAACCCAGGGTCCAGCAAAAACTCACTTGAGTGATTTCAGCAAATGGATTTTTAGGAACTTGTTGTTTACCACCCAAATGTTCTTCCCAGAAAGTGACAGAAGTGCAGTTGAATAAGGTCTGCACAGCACTGTGACTCAAGTCCGAAAGCAAATCGAAGTATTTAAGGGGCTAGGGGTTGCCTTCGGAGTCGGCGCTTCGACCTGCTCCGGGCGTCCAGGCCCAAAGTTACCAAAGCCATGACCAGCACCTCGGAGGGGGGTTCACCAGTAGCGCGGAAGCCACCAAAGAACAAGGGATTTACTCACTTGCCGAGTGGATGGCCCAAAAAAGTCCAAACTTTATTTACCACTAAAATGGTCTTCCCAAAAAGTTTAAAGTTCATGAACTCAGGAAGTGAGTTTAGATGAATTTAGAAGCTGCCAAGAAGAATAGGTAGGGCAAACCAAACCGAGCGTCGGACGCTCGGCTTTTGCCCTTTCGCTTGGTGACAGAAAAGGGGACCAAATCAAAGCCAAAAATCCCAAACCCAATCCTTGCTCGAGCTTCAATCCCATGCAACAGGACAGACTAAGTGCCTCCCATGCAGGTTAACATGGAACCCAAAAACCCTCAGTAGACGAACCTGTAATCCCCCCAGAAAACAAAACAACTGTTGCTGCTAGGGAAAATGAACGACACCCAAGCTGGCAAAAGAGCACAAAGGTCAGTCCATGTTGTGCCAACAACTTGCCGCAAGTTTTAGACTTACTCCCCCCAAACCGTAGCATCGACTCAGCCACACCAGGTTCAGGTTCTCCTTCTTGCCCCCTTAGGTAGGGCGTGACTTGCCAGTGCATAAAGCTTGGTAGGGCAAGAGTCCCAGTGGCCCCCACAAATAAAACATTCCACGGGATCGAGATGGGCAGCCCCTTCCGTTCAACGTTCCGGGGTCCTGGATTGAACCATTTTCCTTATCAAGGGAACATTGTCCAACATCAGGCTCTATGTGAAATGGTGGGAGGGCGTGTCTATAGACCCAGATTGCTTAAACCTCCTTTTGCCTGGAAGCTTGAAGGAGGCAGCTTGCATAACACACTCCCTTGGCCCCCAGCCTCCCGGTTTTGGGCTTCCGCGCTGATGTTCTTGCGCTCGCGCTACAGGACGCCGGGTTGACGATTGACGGGGGGTCGGCTTTCGAGCCAAGCTGGCGCCAGAACTGCAGCAAGTCCTCTTGCCCAAAGGCTCGCTTGGCACCTCCTGTTGGCGTTTCTGGGGCAAAAAGGGGTCTGTGGATGCCTGGGTACTTGGACCCTTTGGGGTTGGGAAGAAAAGTTTCCCTTTTCTGCAATACAGGCCATCCCCAAAACTTGATCACTTTGACGAGGGTTCCCGTTGGCGTCACAGCAGGTGGCCTGAAACGTCCAGCATCCAAAGTACCAGGGAAAAAAGGTCACCTCCCAAGTGGATTGGCAAAATCTGAACTTTTTCCCACCAAAATGCCCCAAACCCCAAAAGTGACTCGCCAGTCCGAAACGGAACTCAGGGAGTGAACAATGGTGGCATGATTCCCTTTAGGTCCGTGGTCGTGAAACTGTACAACCCACCTCAAACATGATCCAACAACAGTAAAGGAAAATCTAAGGAGAAGCGGACCACGCTCACGTTGCACCTTGATTCCCTAATGGTTCCCAAGTGGTCGGGGGTTGGTAGCACAATATTCAACTAAAAGGATTGGCGGCTTCTTTTGACTTGGTTGCTGGCAGGACCCCTCTGCAGAAAAAAAAAACAATAAACTTGTGGGTCAATTGGAAGATCGATTGTTTTCTCAACAAGTCAAAGTCCAAAGATTGAACTAAGAACAATAAAGCGGCGGGTACCCTCGTTTCACCGGAAAATTGGGAGGGAGCCCGGCATGTTTTCCTTTGCTGAGGACCAGGCAACTGCAACTTGCTGCGTCGCACCTCACCCGTCCCCGACCAAATCTTCCCTTGGAACCAGTCGGGAGGGGAGGGGTCGGCCATGGCCTCACCCAAAACGCCCAGATGATACGGTGGATGCCCTAAATATGAACACCCTCATTTGCGGTATTTGTTCATGGTTTTGTGGCTGGGTGTGGTTGGTTTACGCGAAATATTTAGGGCATTCACCGTATGCATCCGTATCCCTTGCCTTGGAACCCTCAAACGCTAGGGGCTATCTGGGCAGAGACCCCATAGCCCATAGCTTTCAGCTGTTGGGGAAAATCCAACACTTCATCCACAAGTACCTCAAACAAGGGACATCTAAGAAACGAACCCTGCTGCATGAGATTAAATTTGCGAACCATCCGCCGAATTCCCAGTCTCCCAGCGACCTGGTGGGAAACGTAAAACCCTTCGGGGGGTTGACTAACTTTGGGTGAGCCCCGAACATACCAAACCAACTCTTTCCCCGCGACCTCCTTTTGCCTTTTTGTAAACAATCTCGAACTGGTGCTGAAAAAAGTGTCTAGGTTAAACAGAGACCAAACAGAATCCATCCACTTACCAGTTGTGACCTGAAAATGAATGGAACTTGCCATCAATTTGACTGAGAAGCCAAAACCAATTCACGTCTGGTTCGACTTCAAGCTGCCGTTGGATGGTTCAGGTTTGTGCACTCAGATGCCCAGTGGCCATGGGAAAAAGAGGGCATCCTCTTTTGGTTGGGTGACTTTCAAAGGACACCCTTCCAAAAAGAAGGAAACAAGGGCACCACTGGGCAACTGGGTGCAGGCCGTATCAACAAAGCAAGTGGTAGAACCAAACGTTATGTATTGAAATGGCCCCGGGAATCGGTTTTGAGCGCTGCACCTGAAAAAGCCCAACCGAATGCAGAGCCGCGTGGAGCCACGTTGCAACATAGAACCTGACGTTTCGGGGTGGCTTGGATCATCTTCCTTTCAAGAAGGGGGTGTCTGGGTTGCGCGTGGGCAGGGTATAACAAGGGAAGAAGTGTCCCATTCACCCTCTGCAAGAAACCAGGGCTTCAACCTCCCAGTTAACACCAATCCAAACCACCAATTGGGGGCTACCCGGAGAAAAAAAACACAAGCCAACAATTGGGGGGGCTACCTGAAAAAAAGGACCTCTGACTCAGCATGGCCGGAAAACAAGAAGAAGCCCCCGGCGAATTCTTCTGCCGAGCCACGCCCCGGCGGGTCAGAGCATCGTCGTGCAAGTCCTCACACATCCGACACGGATTCCCAGAAACTGGTGGACGTGTTGTCCAAAGGATCTGCGTTCCTGGATTCGTTGCAAAACTTCGACACGACCCCTGCGAAAGCAAAGCTCTGCCATTCCGTGGCGCTCACTTGACCCCAAACACAACCAAAACATAAGCCCAGATATCCCCAACAGCATGTGGAACTTTGGTGGAACCCCGGAGCCCTGGTGGAACCTTACCTCAGGGCCGCCCACAGAGTGGGGGGATCCGCCAAGCCCTGCGCATTTGGAGAGCCCCAAAAAATGAAGGTCCTGAAGTGGCATGAGCTGGTTGCACCCAGCTTGACACAACATAGGTAATGACTCCAGGGGCAACTACTTCCAACCAAATTCTGTCCAAAAATCCGAATCTTTCCGGAAAACCACCAAAACCCTGAAGAAATGGATCTGGTTTTTGAAAAGAACGATGGCTGAAAAGAATGGGGAATCAACCCCTAGAATGAAGGCAAACATGAACCGCTCATATGCCACCCCATTGCGCTTGGGATCAGTCCGTCAAGCTTCAACATACAAATCTGGGTCGCTTTGCGATCCTGGAACGTAAGGCAGATCAATCAGCATGCCTTGGTTGCTTTCTGCTCCCCTGCTAAAAGTTTAACATTTAGTGGTTTAATGGGAAAACCCAAAAAGTTCAAGTCCTAACATCCAAGCAAAATGCACCAAAAATGCAAAATGACCCCCCCCCCCCCGTTTTTGGGGCGCAGTCTTGCAGACTCTACTTGAACATTGGCATGTCTCAAAGGCTTTGGGGCTGCGGCCGAAACCTGCAAGATAGACTCAGTAGGGGCGCGCTGAGTATGAACGGCGTGCGCGGAGATTTGACAGGTGCAACAATTCAGGCCAAACAAGTTGAGTAAACGGCTTTGGACAGGTCAACCAGTAGACCCTGGCAGAAAAAGGGGTCCTTTTTTCGGGGTTGACTATGTTTACTTGCTGGTGCTGGTTCCTTCCCAAATCCTGGGTCATTCTTTCGCTACTGAGCACCAGTGCAGCCACACGGAAACTGACGTTTGCAGAGGTTGTGTCCAACTCGCATGCCAAAGCTCCCGTTCAGCGCGTCTGGCTGCCAAGTCAAACTAATTCAATGCACAGGCTCTGACGCACAGCAAGCGTTTGATGTTGGCACGTGAAGGAGTGCATCTGAACCATACGTGCTTTGCCTTTCAGTGGCAAAAGCAGCTCCCCCCAACGGCACCACTCGACCCACTCGAACCAACAGGAGGGACCCCCCGGCCAAAGCTCGGAGGTCCAAAGTTGAACCTTGAGCCACGAAGTTAAATTCAGATCACATGGCGGGTGAAAATCCGAGTCGAAAACCCCCCCAGTGAACATCCGATTCAATCCAACCACTAAAATGGGTTCTAACACGGGTGGTGAATTCACCTACCAACCAAAATGCTACCATTGGTTTTGACCCACGGCCACATCAGGGAGACCAAGAGGTTCCATCGATTCGCTTGGGACAAGTATGAAAGAAAGATGCACTGCTGAGCAAAGCAACCTCTCCGCAACATGGAGAAAAAACAACAAAAAACATGCTTACCTTGCCTATCTTCCAGAAGCCCTAGTCAGGTTCCATGCCGACGTTGGCAGGAGGGTCGATGAGACGATTGACATTGTTAAATTCAAGTTCTTTCTGGGGCGTGCTCGTTCACATCCCCCGATCTCCTCACCAGTTGGCCGCTGTAGGTAGCACCAGGGATGCGTGCACAGCCTGACCCCAACGATACCGAACGGCCTCCCACGGGACGTTCTCGTGAAAACAAAATCCGCGCCAGAAGGAAAAAAGAATCCGCGAGGCGGGAATTGGAGCACCCAGTGAATTTAGGGGGTGGGCTTGGAACAGCCTTTTTTGTATTCAAGCAATGGTTTTGGAGCTGCCAACTCACTGTAGCAATCGGGAACGGGGGAACAACTTGCTGTATTCCGTTCGCTTGCTTTTACCCTGGAGAAGGATTCCCTTTAAAACCAAAATGAAAAACACTCAAGCAAATGGAATTCAATTTACCAGGGTTTTGTGGTTGAGTGTGGTTGGTTTGCTTGCATTTTTTTATTGCATGCGCCGTGCTTTGGCCGCTTCACATCGGGGGCTGCTCCGGGCCCTTCCCCAGCAGGTTCAAAGCTACGCGCTGATTTGGAAAAGGGTCGGTACATGTCGGTCGAGTCAGTCACACGCCGGATGTCTTCACCAAGCCCATCCAACGCTGGAGCTGCCTGGGGCCGTCTCACCAGATCCCAAAGGCTACCTGAATGGTTTTGTCGATTGAGCAACTTAGCTCCCTCCGTGATAGGGATTCAAAATACCTACCCTCCTTTTTACATGAAACCTGACAGTGGGTCTCTTCCAAAGGAAAATGGTCCAAACCAGGACCCCTTGTCAGGTTCCCATTTTAGTTGCTGGGAGGGTATCCCTAAATCGGGATCCAACTACATTGTCTAACGAAGCGGACCCTCCAAATTGGCTTCGGTTGTCCTCTTCTTCTCTAAAACCCACCCCAAGGGCATCAACAAAAAGGACACCCCCTTGCCAAACCAAATCAGGCTTGTGAGCATAGGTCCTTTTTGGAAAATAGATGGGTTTCCCTGGTAGATGAAAAAACCACCAGGCAAACCCGGGCCTTCTATTTCTTAAGCAAACCAACCAAAAAGGACACCTATGTTTGTGAGTTCCGACCCACTCATTCCCAAGCATGCCAGACACTCAGCTCCATATCCCGCAGCTGCTTGTGGATGGAGATCCTTAGCTTCGCAAAAACTTTGGAAGCAAAGGACCCTCTCACTGAGGCCAAACAAAAGTAACCAGGAAACACTTTGTTACAGGGCTGTGATGCCCACTTCTGTGATACAAGAAAAAGGTTCCCCAAAGACTACCTTGCCATTCAAAGAGGGGATTCCCTTGTATCACAGAAGTGGGGATAAACCCCTTGATCCCACAACCCTGCTTTGTTTATTTACCACGAAACAATTGTCCAAACCCCCACACAAGTGACTCAAGTTGAACTCAGGGAGAGCCCTGTTTTACTTTTGCGTTGGACCACTTTGGGTGGGGAACCCACCAAAACAGGCAGTGGCAGCATTGGATGGACGAAATCCTCTTAGGCACCACCGTTCAGAAACCCTGGAATGATGATTCACCTGTAAATACCAACCACGAATGGTTTCAACCATGGTTTCAAAGTGGCGCAGGATTTTGTCCATCCGCAGTAGTTGGTCCCATGCCAGGGCTGAAGGATTCTGTTCTTTGCAGACTCTGGACCGCAAAAATCAGCAACGTAAAGTCAATGCAAAGCAATCAAGTGAAGCGCCTGGTAAACACAGATCCATAAAGTGCACAACGATCTGGGCTGCATAGATGTTTGGCAGTTGTAGCAAGCTGTTATTTTACTCCTTTGTTGAGAACAAGGGGGCCCGCTCACCATGGATCCAAGGAGGCGCTATGACTACTGTCCGTGGCGCAGGCAATCTGAGCATTCTCACGTTATGATGCTTTAGCAGTAGCCGCACGTGCTACATGTTGTTGGCAAGACCTGGCGCAAACACACTGTATGCAGCCTTGGTTGACGTTGGAAGGGGAGCAACAATTCAAATTTTAGCAGTTAAGTGGGGACTTCAACCACTAAACCTCAATAAGCAAAAATGGAGAAATTGTTTCCCAACGACAACCATGCAGCTCCGGTCCCAATCAAAAACTTAAACTGGCTACCCAACACCACCTCAGTTGTTCAGTGACCCTGGAAAAAAGGGAACCCTTTTTTTGGTAGACCACCGAACAACTTGGAAGTTGGAAAAACAGTTGGAAAAAAAAGTTGGAAAAATAATTGGAGCCCCTGAACAACTGAGCCACCAGAACGAACCAGGGCGGGTCTCCGCACCAATTTCCTGGGACCCCGCTAGCCCTAGGTTGATGCTGAGCTGAGTGGGCCTTGCAACCTGTTTTCGGCCTCCCTTTAGATTCAGGCGAGTCAGAAATTCAAAACCCGGTAAACTAGTCCACCCAGAATCATGTAAATAATTAAGAAGGCGGATTTCCGCAACAATTTATGGTTGGGAGTATCCCCTACTAACCTTCATCTACCCAGGTCTTGATTGTGGCTCAAAAGTGGTTCCCCTTCTAGCTGATGTACTCTGATAATCACGGTACTCCGGATGGATCCCTAGTTGTTGCCAAAATGATCTTTCCAAAATAATGCGAAAGACCTTGGAAACAGCGCCCTATATTCTGGGACATGCCCAAACAGTTGCCCACCTACTCTCTCAGCAACGTCCATCCAATGCACTCGCCTTGCGCAGCTTCGCCGTGTAAAACTTAAGCCAAACACGTGCACGGCTTCCTCTTTGAGACGCGCAATGCTGGACAGGATCAACCAGGCTTCAAGGGTGTCTAGAGCTGGGCCGAAACCAAATTCTACACACTGCACTTGGTTCGGAGTCTGCGGTCCAGTCTCTGGTCATCTTCCCGGTCAACGTGGAGTCATGCTCCCTAGGGGCAAGCCGGGCCGTACAGCTATCCGAGGCCACTGACTATATCCCAGGCCCTTGGCAGCGTAAAAGGGAAAATTCCCTCTGGAAAAGGAACACGGCAGCCCATGTGGTATCCCCACCAACCCCCAAACCCTTCCGAGCCAATCCGAACCACTCCGGCGCTCGGATTGGCAAAGACCCCACAGCCACAGCTCTTAGCTTTTGGGGAACTGTCCAACCTTGCAGCCTGCAAAATAAACAGGACCAAACAACCAAAAAACCAAAACATGCCGACAGTGAAGGGAAACAGACATAGGTGTCCTTTTGGGAAAATAGATGGCCCTGGTAAATGGAATCACAAAAAAACATTTAAACCAGTGCCTTCTATTTTTGACCACACTAAGCTTTAAAAAAAACCTACGGAAACAAAACCATCTTCAACGACACTGGGTGCCCCGGGCTCCGGGGAGGAGAGCTCTTGCTGCAGAACCTGAGGTTTTCCCAGCGATTCCAACGCCCGGGCATTGGTTTTGGAAGTACAGCCAGGTCCAGAGAGCTGAGAAGTTGGTACCCGAGTTTTCTTCTGTCATTTTAGTAGGGGAACCCTCCCAACCAAAAAAGGGGTTAAAAAGGGCACCTATGTGGGGTACCAGGTTTTTCATTTTTGTCTATTTTAGTAGGGTCCCGAACCCTCCCCAAAAAAAAGAAACGGTAAAAGTTGGCACTACTGGACCCAAAAAAGGGGTGAGAAAGGGAACTACTCAAATTCCTAGAGCATGTCGTGTGGCCCGACCCTGAAAGGTGTGGATTGTCGTTTCCGCCTGGGTTACAAAAAATAGCAAGCCCAAAAAATGTACTCAGAAAAATAAAGGAGAAAAAACAGCTCCCAGCTCAACTGACCCCCAATCATCCTCATCATATTCACCCTCCGCATCACCATCGTCACCGACGTCAGTCAAGGGCGTCTTATTTTTTGGTGCTCAATGTTTTGAAGGGAAACTCCCAAAAAAGGAAGCAACACAGAAAAGCGCCTCTTCTCGAATGCACTTGCCCTTTGAGTGAGAAAACACGGCAAACAAAAGAAAAACCAAACAAAAGGAAAACACAACACAACAGAAGCGAGCAACACGATCCAGGGAGCAGTCAAACCTCCATGAATTGCACTTCTCTCGATCAGCGGGGCAGAGTCAACACCCATTGCACCACTACATCCTTCAGAAAAGGAACATGTCCAAAAAGGAGAAACAACTGACACTCTTTGGCGTATGGCTGTGGGTCAAAACCAATGGTACCGTTTTGGGGTAGGTGAATTCACCCCCCATTTTAGGACCGGTTTTGCAGGGCTCCCGAGATTTCCCCAATTCGAACATCACCCCAAGGGACACTCACTTTGCACGGGCCAAAAAGGCGATGTTTAAAACCACCAAAAAGGGGGAATATAGGGCCCCCTGAGAAGTGCGGCCTGCAGACTTCCTGTCTGGATGGCTCTCCAGCCGTTCCGCACGGTTTGTTCGAAGGATTTTCTGAAAAAACGAGTTCAGCAAACCCGGCGCGTGAGCATTCTAAGTCATGCAATAACAATTTTAGAACGTCTACATCCATAAACCTTCGCCAGATTCGTCCGTGTCTCCGTCCCTCCGGCCATTGATCCCTCCATCCCTCCATCCCATCCCTGCGGAGGGCAGGGATGGTGCTCAAGGGCGACCCGTGCTCAACATGCACAAAGCTCCGCGGCTAGTGCCAGTGCGAAAAGCCTAAGGTTTTGTTGGCCAGCGACCACTCAGCGAGTAGAAGATACACGTGTTTCCAAGATGTTAAAGGCTTCACACATGTTCCACCACACACTCACTGGCCCAAAGGAGCCAGACATAGACGAAGGGGAAACTAGAAAGTGAGTCAAAGGCTAAAGATCCAACCAAATAGCAAACAAGAAAGACTCACTTCCTGATGCCACTCGATTTCTCTTTCCAAACAGTGTAAAGTGCACTTGAAGGTGTTCGGCCAAGTTAGTCTTCGAAGTTGTTGGTAACCCAAATGGTATCCGACTGATAAGCGCCTAAGTGAAGTTCACCCTGTTACTAGTGGGTTCTAACCCAGGCGGGACACCACTTACTAACTTGGCCGAATATCCAAGCAGGAACCGAAGTGAGAAGAGTTGAACCGCAACCCAGACCCGCATGGACATGTCCATGGGAAAGAAGAGGACTTTTTTCTGGCAGTTCATTTGGACCCTCCGAGGGGACAAGGCACATCTGGAGGTTTGGGACAAGACACTGCACGAGTCAAACCCAATGTAGGAGTCACACATGCTGACTAAAAGAAACATGTATCTTGGCTTCGATTTAGCTCATAGCCTGACTTGCCCAAAGGGCCTGGGAAAGAAGAGGTCTCCCATTTGAAACTGGTGTGGGCCGGGAGACCAAGCTTTCGAAAGATCGGCGGTTGGGCAACCTTAAACCTTACCCCAAACCAACCCGAAACCCATTTCACACACCCCACACCAACCCAAAACCCATTTTACCCACCTTAATCCCAGCCTAACCCAAGGACAGTAAGCTGCTACGGAAAGCTTCGCCTGGTAGATGTTGGTTTGGTCTGGCGCCATGACCACTTGCACCTGGCCACGACCACAAACCATGTAGCAAACTGAGGTCCCTCGAACGATACGCAAGTGTTGCTCGAAACCAATGAGTAAGGGATCGGCAAAACAAAAAATGTTCGGGGTACAAGCCTGCTCACAAAGTCGGCTGCGGCGTGCAAAGTGCAAAGCGGCCGACTTGCATCCTTTAATGCACTGCATCCCTGATGATCTTTGTGAATCACAACTGGGCCTGCGTCAAAATAGGAGAACCGATTCCCAAATTAGTGTTCCGTTTGGTTCTCCTTTACTCGGTTGCTTTCTGCTCCCCTGCTAAAAGTGACTACCTTTTAGTGGTTTAATCTGGAAAACCCATGAGTTGGCAAAAAGTTAAACTCCTCACATCCCTTGGCAAAATGCACCAAAGAATCCATTCCCAAAACGAGAAAACAAATCCGTTGGGTTCTCTTCTCAGTTGTTCAGTGACCCTGGAGAAAAAAAAGGAACCCTTTTTGATATTATATATATATATATATAGTTGGGCAGCCACAAAAACAGTTGGAAAAAGAATTGGTGCCACTGAACAACTGAGACTATCATGGTGTCGATTCCCAAAAATGAGGAAAGCTTTCCGTTCGGTCCTTTCAACTAGAACCACCCCACCGAATGCCGATCTCAAAATGGGTAGTTTTTTCCGCTTGGTTCTCCTTTAAACCAGACCCACCCTCGACCTCTTCCCCGCCTCGACCTCTTCCCGGGCCACCATCTGCACCGCCTGGGCCATGGATCCGGAAGGGTGGGTAGGTGGGTCCTCGTTTTCTCACGACTGGCCAGAGAAGTCCAAGCGGTTCTTACTTTTGCCGCTAAGATGGTCTTCCCGAAAAAATGTGCCAAACAAGTCCAAACTTTTTTTGAATCTACAGCTAACATGGTGGTCCCCCCTAAAAATCAAAAGTCCATGAACTCAGGAAGTGAGCAAATGGATCAGCTCGTATGTCTTCAACCGGATCTCGTCATGAGAAAGCCGCAAAGTCGGAGCCAGACTGATCGCTGGCAAGGGAGCTGCAAGATCTCGGCTCGCAAGGACGCATCCCCCGCAATGGTTGACGTTGGAAGGGGAGCAAAAAAACGATTTTAGCAGATAAGTGGGGATTTCCCACTAAACCGCAATAAGCAAAAAAAAAAATGTTTCCCAACAACAACCATGTCAAGGACAGTTCAAAGGGAAACCCATCCAAATCCTAGCCACAGGACCCAAGGACCAGTTTCTCCCCATGGCAGTTTGAACAGCAGGGTCTGAAGTCATGGGGGCGGGGGGGGAGAGGGAATCATCTCTCATGTTGAGTCAAACATCTCTCATGGGGGCTAGGGGGGAAGGGGAGGGGGAGGGAACCCCAAAAAACCCTTTCTTGAGCTCTCATGAAGGCCTGATTTGGGCCCCCCCCTCCCTCGCCCCCAGCTCCAAGAAGAGAATCCCGAACTGGACATGATCATGGCCTACCTGGTTATACAGGATGATAAAATTACCCCCCCCCCCAAAAAAAAAAACAAGAGACAACGAACATATATAAATATATAAATATATATATATATATATATTGTTGCAGCAGTGATGGATTCCCGTTACAACCAACAGGCAGAAATCAATGTAAAACAAAAAGCTTTTCTGAAAGGCACATGTTTGCCTTCTTTTGCGTCCCTCCAAAATGATGGTTTTCCTTCTTGGTTTCCCTTTAACGCCACAAACAAACAGCGCCCTGAACCAAAACACACACCCACACACACAAACCACCCAATTTTTAGAAAAAGCTAGAGAAGAAGCTCCCCGAATGCTTCACCTCCAGCTTCCTCCAGCCTGCCTCGCCACTGTCGCGGCGCAGCATCACCGAATGCAACCTGAGGCTCGGCCGACCACGAATCTGCACCTTTGGCTCGGCGATCACCAAATGGGAGTTGGCCTGAATGAGGGTGTCTTTGTTCAGGGTACGCCACCCCAAACAAGAAGGTGGTTTTCCTTTTGGTTGCCGGTTAGAACCACAGAAAAGGAGGCCTCAACAAAAATACACCCAAATAGATTGAACTGGGTTGTGGCGCACTTTCAACCAACATGGGCCATGAACACAACAAAACATGTGTATTTGTCTAGTCCCTTATACTACCCCTCTCTCCGACATGCAAGCTGCCAGAGGTTTGGAAGACCAGTGTCCTTCTGGGGAACTCTGTCCACTTGCACGGGGGAGAACTCTGTGAACTCATGAAACCTGAAAGAGCTTCCATACCTGCAGGCCCGTTTTGGCGGCCGATCTGTTTGGAGCCCATGTGATGTTTTTGCACTTTTTCCCACCCCGCGGGCGCTGGGACATGCAGAGGCTCCCTTTCCGAAAGGGAAAATCGTCTAGCATGTTTGTTGACCAGCAAAGAATCAGGGGAAGGTGGAGTACACGGAACCCTACACCTACTACCCATACTACTGTATTCGAGAAGCACCTGGGTGAAAAAGATTGGGGGTCTCTATCACATGTTTGAAAAATACACATCCCCTGTTTGATCCCTTTGGGCAAATTAGCAAAAGGATGGTTGCTGTTCAGCACACAAACTGGAACTATGGAATTGTCCTCAAGGGGCCAAGCTCGCTTTCATCCTCAGTGAGCTCGTTTGTGCAGTTGGTTTTGCTACAAATTGAGGTACCTTCTGTTCGGTGGTTGTGAAAGAAAACCCAAAACGAACACCACAATTTTGGTGTCTCCTCAAATAGGGGCTGAACAAAGCAAGAAAAAATAGCCCCCCCCCCTCCGCCCCCGCCCCACGCAAACTCCAAACAAAAGCAAAACGGGGACACACAAACTGGAAAACTGAGTTGATTACTAACGGAACTAAGGGGGTGAGATTGAAGGGAAACACTCTCCGAACAGAAGGATACATGGGTGCATCTTGTGATAGGGGACCCCCCCAAAAAGAAAGAACAAAAGAAAGAACAAAACACGTTTGCTCTTCGGTTTCCTTTGAAAATTGCACAAAAAAAAGGTACCCTCAAACAAGACACCCCCACATCGGGCGGGAAACAAAACGAAGACCAGAGCTCTGGGCTGAGGCCTTCCCAGCCCTTCCGAAGGTCTCAGTCACGGACAGTTTTTGCAGCAGCGCTCTGCCTGGGCCAGGGGATGGATCCGTCCGCATCGACCCTCAGGTTTCCGGACCGGAAGTTCCGGTGGGCCTCGCAGGTGTCCGGAAGCTCTCAGGCGGATTTTGCGGATTTGGTTCGCACACATCTGGGGGTTGATTTTTGTGCTTTCCTTGGCACCCCAACTTTACAATGCCTGGGTGTCCTAAGGGTTGGAGGTAGGAAGATCAGTGAGCCTTTTGAAGTCATGAGGTAAATGCCACACCTGCACCGCACTGATCCGCAAACAAAGTTACTCTCACTGATACCCACCGCAGTCGTAAAAGGGCCCCTACCAAACCAACACTTCAACAAGCGCTTTGGATTGATCCGGAGGACCGTATCAATCAGGCCTGTTTCCTTAGCAAGATAATTGTCTGTTGTAGGGCGGTCCTCTGATCAGTGTGTTCTGTTTTTGCTTTTTCCGGATTCATCCGAGGCTGTTTCTGTTTCTGTTTGTTTTTGGCTTTTTAATTGTGGTTTGCCAAGAAAAGGTAAAAGGGCACCTAGGGGGGACCTAGGAAACCAAAGCACTCCTTGTCCCGAGCATGTGCCTTCCTCGGTGCCCGCGAAGCGCTGGCGGAAGTCCTCAGCGGCCCCGGGCGCGAGACGCGCGGCTTAGGGGTTGATCCCCCAACAAGAATAAACAATCAACAGCAAACATATTCTAGGGGTTGATCCCCCTGGGTGCCCATTCTGTTGAACCATCGTTCTTTTCAAAGCCCAGCTACTTTCCCTGGTTTCCGGTGGTTTTTTAGAAAGAAGGATCCCTGGACAGAATGGGGAAGGTATCCCTAGATTTATGGCAACCCGTGGTCAAGGGAAGGGTACCCGTCAACAATCATGGAAGCTAACATGAGGGTTTTGGCAGACTAGTTTTCTTTTCAGGAAGTGTTGACAAGAGAGTAAGCCCAGTTATCAAGTTGGCATGTCCAGGTTTGGGTTAGCTTGAAAGCCGTAATATGCCCCTTTTATAAGGGGTACAGAACCTTCACACCTCCAACACCCATACCAGGAAATGCGCTTAAACTTAGTGGAGTTTGCAACCACGGTAGCTGGGATTAAACTTTTGTTGTTACTAATCACTTGGCGTGCGCCCTATGGTTGTCAAGGGCCGGTGGATAGGCGCCAATAGCGGCTACTACCCTCCCTCCAACAATCATGGAAAAACGACTTTCCTTTTCAAAGCCCCTTGTCCGCTTCCATGATTGTTGGATAGAGGGTAGCCAAGAAGGCCAAAACCGGGGGATGCGTTCCTTGTGTCCGTCCCTGACAACCATTGGCGCCTCCCATGTCAACCTCCCAGATTGATCAACAAGGGCGGGATGGAATCGGGTGGTGTTGGTCCCCCCAGCGAATCCTCGCCCAAGTGGGGCGCCCAGCGTTAATCAACCACAGGTTTACTAATCATCCGATCCGGGGGTCCCTCCTTTTCTCAATGGGGTTCTTGCTGGTACGTCTCCTACCCTCACTTCCGGAGTGGATTTGCCAAACAAGTCAAAGCTTGTTGTTTGCCACTTAAATGGTCTTCTCAAACGGCTTCAAGTTCGGGAATTCAGGAAGTGAGTGCAGGCTTATGCAGGCTTAGGGGCGCTTCCCATACTTGTCTGAAGAGGTATCTGAACGTGTTGTCAGATCCACCCTGTGAGTGGCGCCAGGGCTCAACGGAGCTTGACCCAAAACATTCAACATGGGAATGCTGAAAGGTGAAACGGTCAACTCGCTTTGTAACTATTTGTAACGGTCAACCCTCGGAAGGACAAGGTAAGGTGGTCCAAAGACCATTGAGTCCTCCCGGCCCCAATGGAAGACGACAGTTGTACTCAAGCCAGACGGCAAGCCTAAATAGGGCCTTTAGGCTTTGTTTTGACATCCTTCCAAGTGATAAGCTTCATGCAGCGCTTTCCAACGCAACATCCGAAGCACTCCCTCCATCGCATCGCTTAGAAGTACCCGGTGCTCAACCTCTCAACCCATCCTCGAAGCTTGGCTGCTGGAAGCGCCCCTCTGCAAAAAGTGAGCTTCACTTTTTGTGGGTGCAATTCGGAGGAAAAAAGAAATGGTGCTTCAACCAAACAGTTAAAGTCCAAAGAAGATCCATTACAAAACATGTCCAGTAGCGATAGAACCTCTTAAAATCCACAGAATGGAAGGGCCAAGAGAGCCTTTGGAAGCCTCAGGCGATTTCTACACCTCAACTCCGCCCTTCCATGGCTCCTGTAGGCTCCCGCAGCAGCTGGGCTCAACCTGAAGTGGGCTACAGCCGCAACAGCCGCGACATGGAACCAAAAGCCATCATCAGGGATCCTTACACCTGGGCAAAATGTATCTTTTAAGGAGCCCTGCTCATGTTCCTCTTCTTCCATTTGCGATTTCGCCCCCTGGAGAAAATAACAATATTGCCAGTAGTTATCGATTCCTTTTAAGACCAACAGGGGAAAAAACATCGAACAAAAATAAAAATAAAAAAACAAATATTAAACACATGGAAGTTTTGGGTGAGCTTTTGTGACGTGCACAAGAGGGTCAAACCACTACCTCGACACCCACTCCTGATGTCAGCGCATGTCACATTCGCCACATTCGCCGAGATTGCCATAGAACCACACATGTACCCAGTGTATAACGGAATCTTCTCTTGGGGATCGTTGGTTTGGGGGGGGAGGGGTAAATTGTTGGGTTGGACACATGTGTGCGTGTGTGACAGGGTTCACTCCATTTCCCGTAGAGTACCGACCCTATCCGGGAAACCCACCTTAAATCGGCTAAAAAGGTGATGTTTAAACCACCCCAAAGGAGGAATACAGCGAACCGGAGGATTAAACAAAAAGCCACCCAAACAAACCAACCCCAAACACAAACAAACAAACCCCACCCCAAAGGAGGATTACAGCGAACCGGAGGAACAAATAATACCCTTTAACTAACCCCAAGCAAACCAACCCCACCCCAAAGGGGGCCGGGATTTAAGAACAAATCCACCCTCAGCCAAGCCGATGAGGGCCAAACGAACTGGAGGATGGAGTGCATGTCATCCAAGGAGTTCCTGGGCACGACTCCCAGCGGTGAGAGAAAAAACGAAGCCCTGTTGGTTTGTATGGTTTTGTTGTTTTCTTCCCCTTGAAACATATGGGTGTGGCTCAAAATGAAACAGGAGGGGTTATGCAGGTGTTGGTCACAGTAGGAACCCCAGAAAGGTCAATGAATTCCGGGGCAGTTGGCCATCCGGAAAGCACGAGGCGAGACGTGAGCCATAAACTAATTTACAACACTATTCCTGCAGACGTTACATGTTCAGCATCGTATGATTTCCTTCGTTCATGCATCATTTCACTGGTGGTGCCTTTCACTCGGACCGGTGTACAGCACCTGGAGCAAATACCCTGATTGATGCATACAATCCCTTCAGTACCCATGATGTATTGTCTCAGCTGCCCAAGGACCAGGAAATCAAAGGTTTACCTTTTAGAGCCTTGACGAATCCAGACATATGATACTGAAGCCTTGCTCAATAATTGTTTCCCTTAGTTACCCCCGATTCACTCAGTTGAGCCACGACCAAAAAGCCCAGTATTCAAATGGCGTACCCAAACTAACGTAAAGAGCTAAACCCAATTCTGGCTGGGACTGCCCCTTCTTAACCTTCACTCAATCGGGCTTTCATTATGTTACATCTGGGGGTTCCCTCGTACCTTTCTGTGACCCTTTGGTTTCGATCGCTCACCCTGTGTGGTTTGATCTGCAGGGCAACCCCTGCTTCTGTTATATTGTCTTGTCTTAAAAAAAAAAAAAAACTAAAAAAAAAAACTTTAAGGGTTTTAGAACCAGGAATCGCTCCCCTAAGATGTCTTGCACCCGCCTCAACCTGACCAAAGCGCCCAGGGGGGCGCGCCATGTTACACGCTCCCTCGCTGGAAGCTCAGTGGCCAATGAATTTTCTTCATTTCCAGGGTTGGCTCCCTGGCCTCATGAAAGTTAGACATACACCCCCATTCCAGTACCCGCCCCATTCTCTTCAAGGATCCCGTGCAAGGGGCCCAACACAATTCTGTGGCTTCTTTTTTCCCCTCAGGATTTCCCTCTAATCGTTAACCCAAAGGGTACCCAGCTTTACAAAGCCCAGAATGTGTTGATGCTTCCTCGGCAATGACTTGGTTGACGTTGGAAGCGGAGCAAACAATTATATTTTAGCAGATAAGTGTGGGGGTACAAATAAATCACAATAAGCAAACATGTTATTATAAAACAAAATAAAAATAAAAAATCCCAACAACAACCATGATGATGATTCCCTTGCAATTACCAACCAACTTTGTTTTTTGTCGGGTTTCTCGGGTTGCGAGAGTCGCAAATTTTCGGAGCCCTCCACCCGCACCAGATGGTTTCGAGGAAGGTGCTCGATGGGCGAGCCCGTGAGCGCCAGTCGAAAGGGCGCCTGCGCCAAGCCTCGGAGATTCCACGATCCGAGCGGCTCGACGCAGCAGGGAGGGAATTTCGGGCGGAGACGAGCCACGGGGTCTGTCTCAGAATGCCACCTCAGAAACCTATAAGGAACCTAGGCCGTGGCTTTGCTGGGTTACTGTGGGTGGCTGCAAAATCCGCGAGTCTCGCACCACCTGTAAAAAATGGTGGAAATCATCCTTTGGTTGGCATTGACGTTGGGGAATCCTCACAAACCAGGGCTTCGACTCATACGATGCCGCATGTGACTGCCTGTCCAAAACAAGGCAGTGGCAAATCTAGTAAGTCTAATACTGTAGATGGACAAAATCCTGCACCACTTTGAAACCATAGGAACCCAGTGTTTGTTGGTATTTACAGGTGAATCATCCTTCCAGGGTTTCTGAACGGTGGTGCCTAAGAGGATTTCGTCCTGTGACAATTCATGTTCAGATCGCGTACTTGTCGGGTCGCCGCGATCCCGGATGGCAAGCTTGCGCCTCCCTTCAGGACACAAACACTGGATCGACATATGCATATACATACATACGTATATATATACACACCATATATACATATATACATATCGACACAAAACAGGGTCGATGCTGGCTTTTCGATTTTTGGTTTTACTTTGTTGTTCTTCTTTTTTTTACCAAGCTGGGGTTGTGCAATATCCGGTATCTACTGCCCACACCACTGTTTTGGATGCCGGATACGACCGCTTCATCTCATGCTCCGTCACTTTGCCTCCCCAAGGTACCCGGGCGCTTTACTGCGTTGGCTGTCTGCGAGTTGTGGTTCTTGATGGTCTGTGCCTGAACGGCCCAGGTTGAACAACTAGGTCCTGTAGAGAGGGTAGAATAAGGGTACTGTTTAATTTTTCTGTAGTCATGTTTTAGTAGGGGAACCCTCCCCCAAAAAAAGGGAAGCAAAGGGCACTACTGGGCGACCTAGACAAAGGCAACACGCGCCGGGCAATGTCTAGCCAACAAGGCGCGTTCAGCTGCAGTGCGAGCGTGAAAGCGAAATCCGCTTAGGCACCACCTAAGAAACCCTAGAATGATTTTACATACCGAGCCGAAATGGCTTCAACCATGGTTTCCAAATGGATTTCGCGCTTCCGAAGATAGGTTGTGATGAAAAAAAGCCAGGCTCAAAAGTCAGAGAGTACCTGGTTCAGTCGTTCCTCGATGCTCCCAGCAGGTTCCCTATCCTAGGTAGAATGATGAAGACATTAAATATCCATGACGCCCAATCCTCCAATGGCCAGGGGCAAGGCGTGAAAATTTGCCGTGTATAACTACTTGGTTGCGAAATCTGCTCCCCTGCTAAAAGTGACTAACTTTTAGTGGTTTAATACGGAAAACCCCTTAGATGGATCAAAAAGTTAAAGTCCTAACCTCCCTTGGCAAAATGCACCAAAGACTAATTGGTTTGCAAGGCAAAAGCTATTTCAAAGCAAGCCGCCTTGGGGCATCGAACCCCTTGTAATGTTAAGCCCGGATTAATAAACCCCTGGTTGATTAATAGGGGGGTGTCCCCTTTTAGTGCGGATTCATCACTGTTGGAGGGAACACCCCCCTTAGTGGGACGGGTTTATGAATCCTGGGTCAACATTAAAAACAATCCGACCCCATCCGTGTACATCCGGCTGAATGTAATGGAACCCTGCCATACCGCGCCCCCACACGGTTGACCACCTTCCTTTCCATAAGCAGGGTGACTGCCGGTGGGGGCAGGGCAAAACACATACCCTTCTCTAAGTATGGAACTCTAACATGCGTGCTCGGTTTCTCAGCTCCCCTTAAGCGCACCTAAACAGGGGTTCTCTCACTCAAAAGAACCATACCAATGCCTATTTGTTGCCCCTGACTTGGTGGAAGAAGCAACCGTGCCAAGTAGATTGGACCGAACTAGCGCTGTCATCTTCAATTACTTGAAGAAAGCGCCCAAAAAGGTGGGCGAATTATGTGCGCTTTTCTCCCCTACATGGCCGGTGGACAATGCATCTCACTTCTAGGGAGCCTCATGTTGACCCCTGGGGAATCAGATCCCATTTAGAGGGTTTCATTGGGTTGCTGGCTCGGTTGCGAAATCTGCTCCCCTGCTAAAAGTGACTAAATTTTAGTGGTTTAATACGGGAAACCCCTTAGATGGATCAAAAAGTTAAAGTCCTAACCTCCCTTGGCAAAATGCACCAAAGACTAATTGGTTTGCAAGGCAAAAGCTATTTCAAAGCAAGCCGCCTTGGGGCATCGAACCCCTTGTAATGTTAACCCCGGATTAATAAACCCCTGGTTGATTAATAGGGGGGGTGTCCCCTTTTAGTGCGGATTCATCACTGTTGGAGGGAACACCCCCCTAATAGTGGGACGGGTTTATTAATCCTGGGTCAACATCAAAGAGGGTTTTACTGGGGTTGATGAATATGGCGTCATTATGACAATCCATGCCACTATGAATCCAACATGCTCCGACACGTGGCCTCAAGCGGGCCTCAAGCCGTGCAAACTTGACACAAAACAAGTCACTTCGGATCGAGTGGGCCCAAATCAAGTCCAGGAACTGAGTTGTTTGCCGCCAACGTGGTGCAAAACCAAAAAGTTTTTTTGTCTAGTCCAGCAACTCGGGAAGTGAGACAAGCAAATCATGACCTTGTTTGTGCCTAAGAAAAAGAAAGGCACATGCATAAGCCGCTGTCTTAGGATGCATACAACCCAACGGAATATTCACAATGGTTGCACTGCCTTCATTCCAACGAAAACGGCTTGGACTTGTGATTTTTTTGTGGATTTCACCTGGTTTCTTTAAATTAGTTCTCTTTTCATATCCTACAGGGGTGGTTCCACAAATGCGCCACATCAGAAGTAACTGCTTTCCTTGTAGTGTGTTCAGCGTCAGGTTCATGGAGAGTGTGCCGTGTCCGGAACGAGGAGTTTAGGGTGCGAAGTCTGACACAACAGGGGGCGATGCGGCTTGTCATTGAACCCTCCTGCCCTCCCAGCAAACAACTACGTAGACCATCGAATCCTCCTTCCCAGGAAGTTTGAAAGCTGAAAGCACCCATGTACTGAAGTCTTACACTCCCTGGAATTAAACAGGAAGTCCGTGCTCTCAGAGGTCCTTCTAACATGGAAGTCCCTCGCCCGTCTTTTTCTGGGGAAATGCCTGTCATTTTTTGCTGGGAATGTACGACCACATCCTAACATAGAAGATACCTGGGGTACCCCTCGCCACGATGATCCCGGGAGTTTTTCATGGACCCTAGATTCTTGAGGGAACCTGTTTCGATCCTGCACTTCCATGTAAAAGAAAAACGTGACTGAAACTGCAAGTTCTGACCCACAAAAGTGTCCTAACATAGCACCTGAGAATAGGCGCTGCACTTCCATGTAAAGGAGAACACGGGTGCTTAACGTGGAAGAGCAGGCTCGTCGTTTGCCCTACTGTTTTTCGGGGGTCAATAGGGAAACTATGATTATGTTAGGAGCAGTTTCGCATATCCCCGCCATTTCCCCGGCACTCTTAAAATTACGGTGTGTCCGCCCGCTAATCCTAAAAAATTGCAGTTTCCGAGTCAATCTCACCCCTACATGCTACCAGTCGTGAGTCGTACCTAGGTGGGGGCAGGGCGGGGAGAGGTTCTGGGCAAGTTCTGGAAGGGGGGGGAGTTCGGTTTGTGTTAGGAGGATTAGGGTTATTGGGGGTTTGAGGGAGGAAGTCAGCTTCGTGTTCTGAAATGCGGAAGTCGCCAAAAACACCCCAGAAACTTCCATGTTAGGATGAACCAAAAACATAGGTTTTGTGACTCACCTGCAAAAACATAAAAGCTTCGGCGCTTCCTGTTTAATTCCATGCAGTATAGGTGCCCTGAGAAAAAATATGTCCAGTAGTGCTAGATTCGCTTTAGTGTCAAAGAGGGAACGTATAAAATACCCATTTGAGCAAATTTCTATAGGAAACTATTCAAAAATAAGCACGAACTGGTGAGATCAGGTCCAAGTTCCCTGGAGAAACAAAAAACACGCGAGCTCCGAAAAAAAACTGCCTCGTCAAGCACCACACAAGTCCAGCCTGGCAAGTACATGGCTTGACCCTCCCCAACCGAAGGCATGGGAAGGTGCCGAAGCGCATCACTTCAAGCCGCACCATGGGTTTCTCGGTTGCGAAATCGGCTCCCCCGCGAAAAGTGACTAACTTTTAGTGGCTTAATACGGAAAACCCATTAGTTGGCAAAAAGTTAAAGGCCTAACATCCAAGCAAAATGCACCAACGGCTTCTTTGCTTTTACCCTGCAAAGAATCAAAATGTTGTTGGCAGGGGAACGATCATTTGAAGAATTCTCAAACAGCGTTGGGGCCAAACCAAAAGTCAACAAAGAAGGGGTTTCCTCAATTGAGCAAACAGAGACTCAAAATCAAACATAGTGGACAACTCTTCGATGGAATGTTTTGGGGCTGCAAGTTGGCAGAAAAGTAGCATCACACAAGACTGCAGGAGCAACAAGATATGAAACTACTACACGCAAAAAAAAATGAGAGACCCTGATGTCAACGTCGAAATATGATCCACGCGTGGCCAAAGGAATTCCTTCCGCATGCTCAGCTTCCCAAGGCTCACTTGCCCGGACCCGGAAATTTCATGCGATCACCTTTTCTTGGATGACGTTGGGTTTGGGGATCAAAAAAAAATCATTTTAGCAGTTGAGTGGGGATTCCAACCACTGAACCACAATAAGCAAAAATGTAAAACACACAAAAAAAAAATGTTTCCCAACGACAACCATGTTTTGGCACCGGGAAGCCAATAGGAACGGCTTAACGGTCCATTCGCTTTGGTCGAGTTTGACCCCCGGAGAAATCAAGCCAAACGAGGGGTTTGTTGCCCAAAGGGCCCAATGAAGCGAACTCAGAGAAACCAAAGGCTGAAATGCGGTCGATTCGCTGTGGCAAGCGAGGTGTGAGGCTTGATTCATCTTTGGTCAACGCATGCAAGAGCGGCAAAGGAGTCAAGCCATTTCGATTGTCAGCTGCACAAAGACAGAAAAGAACACACCACCGCGTTTGAGGGAACCCAAACACACCCCCTTGCAAAGACCAACATAGACTGTAGACCCAAACCCGAGGAATTTGAGGGACTGACGTGTTTGGGTCGTAGGAGCAAGCTTTTGGAACACATACGAAACCCGGCAAAAACACAACAGCTTGAAGCCTGTGGCAAAAACAAAACTGCGCGAAACTCGAAATTCCTTGTCCTCGTACTTGCAACATCTCACTTCGTGACTGGACTGGCCGAGAAACGTCCAAACTTTTTGTTTGCCACAAAAAATGGTCCAAACCCCAACAGTGCCTAAAGTCCAGTTGAACTCAGGAATGAGATATGGAGTTGGCCACTGTGACTATGCAGAAGCCCTTCATACCAGCCAACTATGGTGCACCATCTCCTTTCCCTTCAACATGTACCAAAACCTGCACAGGCAATGGGCACCAACATCACTTCACAAATTTAAGGCACGAAACACAAATCAATTTTCTTTATGAGCTTGATCCATGCCAACGTTGACCAAGCAGTATTTCTGACTTTGATCCATGCCAACCGGTGGATCCAACTGGATTTTAAGTCATGCCAATTGAACTCCAGCTTTGCCCTCCCCCCGAAAAACTACAACTCCGGATCGGCTCGCATCAAGCAGGCCAGGATCTGCTCTCCTGGAGGAACTTCTCATGATTGGCCAGGAAGCTCTCCTTGGAACTTTTCGGAATCCCAGCCAAAGGGGTGGGGGGGATTTTGGTTCCCTAAGGCTGGCGTTTTGGAATTTTCAGGAAGGGTGGGGGGGGGAGTTTGGTTCCCTCAGGCTCTGTGTCGGGAAATTCGCAAACCCGACCAGTTGCGGAAAACTTCGGCCCACTGGACAACACACGCATATATGTCCAGTCATAGATTCCCTTTACAACCAAAAGGGAAACGAAACATATTTATTTCAGAAAATGGAGGTAACTTTGGCTGTTTGTGTTGGTTTTGGTTTGTTTTGGATTGTTTTTGTTTGTTGTCTTGTTGTTGTTTCAATGTTGTTGTGTTTTTTGTTGTTTTTTCTTATTCGGACAATCAATCTTCAAATAGAGATCCAGTTGCCACTGGCGGCAAGCACAAATCTTGGAGGTTCGACTCCCTGGATCGATTTCCCTGGGTCAATTTCTATCGTATCTAGGGGTTGCGGGAATTGAGTTCGCACCACGGGAGGGTTCGCTCAGTCTGTGACTGTGAAAAGTATGTCGTCCAAAGACTCCACTGCGCGACTGCGCGACATCTTGAAAAAGCATCTAAATGCACCCAAAAAAAACAAGTTCCATAAGTTCTAGCTAAGTATGTTGGCTTGGTTATGAAAACTCAGTCGTAAAACAAAGGCAGCCACAGACAAAGACAAACAATTACCAGGGGACCGGGGAAGCAACAAAAACATGGAGAAAAAAGGAAAACAACACAAACAAATACGGTCTCTAGGACAGCCGCTTGGGTGCAACACAATGTCTCCTTTATCTTCTGCGAAACTAGACTCATGCTTTGCCAATGCAAAGAACAAAAGCACACGGACTTCATTCAGCTCCACTGCTCTCAGAAAAGAACGCGAAAACCACAACCAATCGAAAAAACAAAGCCGCACAAAACCACCCTATGCGGATTCTAAGGAATTCAGCTTGCTGGCCCAGGTATGGGGCTGGGTGAGACTCACAGGTTCGCAGGTGAGGGATGAAAAACAAACTTCCTCTCTTAGTTTTCCTACTAAAATAAAAACTCCGAGGATAAAAAAAAGACTTGTTAGGGGGATCAAAAAAACTTCCTCATTTCGTGATGCGCGGCACTTTCGCAAGGTCAGGTACAGGCTTTGTGGCGCACAGTACTTTCGCAAGGTCAGGTACAGATTCGCGGCAGGCGCAGCATTTTTGCAAGGTACGGTACAGATTTCGCAGCAAGCGCAGCACTTTCGCAAGGTCAGGTACAGATTTCATGGCAGGCGCAGTACTTTCGCAAGGTCAGGTACAGATTACGCAAGGCTCCCCCATGATGCTCGAAGAAGTGATGATTCAACAAAGGGTGATGATGATCGAAGAAGTGATGATTCAGCAAGGGCGCATTAATCACTGTAAGCATTCTACAAATCAGCAGGGGGTTGGGGGGGGCAGCCCCCCCCATGATGCTCGAAGAAGTGATGATTCAACAAAGGGTGAGCTACTCTCTATATACATTCTACAAATCAGCGGGGTGGTTGGGGGGGGGGGGGTGGGCGCTTCCTTCCTTCCTTCCTTCCTTCCTTCTTCCCTCCTTCCCTCCTTCCCTCCTTCCCTCCCTCCCTCCCTCCTTCCCTCCCTCCTTCCTCCTCCTTCCTTCCTTCCTTCCTTCCTTCCTTCCTTCCTTCCTTCTTCCTTCCTTCCTTCCTTCCTTCCCTTCCTTCCTTCCTTCCTTCCTTCCTTCCTTCCCTCCCTCCCTCCCTTCCTTCCTTCCTTCCTTCCTTCCTTCCTTCCTTCCTTCCTTCCTTCCTTCCTTCCTTCCTTCCTTCCTTCCTTCCTTCTCCCCATAGGAATGAGAAGAAGTTTGTATTTCTCCCCAATAAGTCTTTCTTGATCAATAATAAAAAAAGGTTTGATCCCTGATAAGTTGTTTGATGCCTATCCCCAGATTCGCTCCGGGGGAAAGCTTTGCCCTCTGACCAGGGCTGACCAGGGAAAACACAACAAGTGGGCTCCCAACCCCGGCTTTTTGCGCCTGGTTTCAGGTTGGTGTTTTCTGCTCTTTGGGATTGGCACTTTAGAGAAACACACTTTTTGAACACAAAAATGCCACAACGACGGGGACATGTTTTCCCCATGAAAGGCTTTGCTAGGCCGGGGTTGACCTAGGCACCCAGGCAGTTCACAAGTACGATTGAATGAAGATAGGCAGAGTTAGGTTGCACGTTTGCGGCTCAAGTGTGCTATGTTAGGTTCCCCCCACCATGGCCATGACCAGTGCCGAGTCCCGGCAAACACATCGACATTTGCTGATGCAGCCTCGGCCTATTACCTCTTCTAATAAATCTACATTAATTACAAAGCAAATTGGATATTTTTTCGTGGGTTTCACACGGTCTTCTTTTGTTGGCCCTTTTTACTCTTTTAGTACTCATTAATATCTTATAGGGGTGGATCAGCAAAAGCCACATCCAGACCGTTTTCTAGATGTAGGGCTCACGTCTTGCTTTTGAGAGCCCACAAGCTCGCGTTTGCTTGTTTGTCCGTTGCCTTGCGGTTAAATAGACAACCTCATCTCATTTGCTCGTCCCGAAAGGGAAAGGCCATTTGATTTAATCCAAACAGGGGTCAACACTTAAAAGGCAACTCCCACGAGGTGGCGCATCCCCCAGCTCGATCGGTTTGAAGGTTAGGGGTGTGGTTTTTGTTTACACACTACCAGAACCAGGGGTTCAACCCCCCCAACCACAAATCCAAACAACCAATCCAGCCCCCGAACTACAAGAAAAACGGCAAAAAAAGAAGAAGAAAAGATCTTCAGCTCTGGCACGTAGCTGGTGAGGACAACGTCATAAAGCTCCAGAATGGGGCCTGCAAAGAAAGCGAAACTGACCTTCTTGGTTGATTGGCCTTGACAAAATGCGCTTGTTGGCCGTTAGCTAAAACAATAAGAAACCTGCCAAGAAACAGTTTAATGCTTGCCACCAACAAACAGGCTCAGCGAAGTAGCCAAAAGCAATGTCTGTGCGCTTTCATGCGCGCTTTCCCTATTTCCGCTCACATGGTTTTCCGAAGTAAGTACCATGTCCAAAAGTCGGGGAGTGAACCAAACAAACCTTCAGCGGCCTGTGGAATTCTTGTGAACTGGGCACTTTGGATTTTTTCCGTGCACGCCGCGATGGTCCGAAACGCCTGAGTCCCAGGCTCTTGACGGGCAGCTGCCAAAATCCGAAAGAACCACTTCATCTCTATCCCCTCACTTGCCCAAAGGACCCAGAAATCAAAGGTGAACCAAAACTGTGGCACCTCTGATTAACAAAAATTGGCCAAAATCAGGGAAACCAACAGATTCAAAGGCCGATTCGCTTTGAGCAAGTGAGTCTGAAAATTGGGACCCCGTTGCAAACTTTTGATTTAAGGGAACCAAGCGAACGCGGCCCTGTCTTCCCAAAGGTCGATCTTTCCCTCCAGAAATCCAAATGCGTCAGCCAAAGGCGATCATTTCGACCGCGGATTTATCAACCTGTTCTAGGTCCCAAGAAGTCCAGATTGCGTCTTAAATGAGAAAGCCACAAATACAAGCCTACCGGGCATGAATCCTTGCGTGCAGTCCAGTGATCCAGACCCGCCAGACCCCCCCCTGGGGCTGATCGGACGAACCCCGGGAGCCGGGGATTGACTCCGACTCCCCCGCCTTTCCAAGTCGCAGTGTTCACCTCATACCGCAAGTCGCAGGCACGCTCCCCGTGCCATTGCCAGACCTAGGCTTTGGGCCAAATGAAGTTGGGGAGCCCTTTAAACAAGGGAACACCCGACTCGACATCCCATCTTTGAGAAATCTCCTTTTTTGGCGGCCGCCTCTTTCTTCGTTTCAGCGCTGGCGGGTCTTGCAATTGGGCCGCTGTTTGAGCCTTGATCCGAGGCCAGCTTCGTCACGGGCACCTTACGATTGAAATCCCATAGTGGAAAACGCGCGCGTTGGCCTGGGTGTACATCAACTTCCAACTACAACTGCGTTCTTTTACAGAAATCCTTCCCTCCAGAAAACTGAACTCATCTTGATCTATTGTCTATCTATATATATATATATATATATGTATCTATATTTGGGGATCCTCCTTGAGTATATGTTTTTCCTCTCCAGCGGCCTCAATTGTCGAACTCCAGCGGCCTCAATTGTCAAACAGCTTTGGGCGATTCGGTGAAAAGCGGCCTCCGTTGCCCAAGAGGCCCATGAACATCCCGGCCGGGAACGGAATTTTCGATTCGGATAGGCAGGTCTCGCAAACCGACGTCTTTCAGGTTTAGACCTGTGGCCCAGAAACCCGGGAAAGATTTCCATTTTTCCAGGTCCCACGTCCCCCACACCAAACAAAAACAGATCACCGTGTTGTCGGGTTCCGTGCTTTCCAAAACAAAACACAAAGCAGGCCATACCAGAAACATTCTCCCTGACCCTCCAAACCCAAGGACCAACAAAAGACAAACACAAAAAAGCAAGCACAACACCAAGCGGTCAAAACATCTACCATGTCCCTAAGCAAAACTCCACTTGCGGCTCCGAAAGGCGTTTTGTCTTTGAACGCAAGCTTTTGGATACCGAATCCCAGCACTTCGTAGGCTCCCGGAGCCAAGCAAGAGCAAAAACCATGTGTTGCTGGTTGCTGTTGAATGGGGTTTACCGCCTCCAAAACAAGTTGAACAAATGAAACCCAGAGGTCTGGTAGATGGCCCCAATTGTTTGACCCTGCTGTTGACCCCCCTTCAAAAAGTTTAACTTTTGGGGGTTGAGTGGAAACCCCCTTTATTTTCCAAAAAGTTAAAGTCTAAAAACCCAATAGCAAGCAAGCTGTTGCCCTCAATGTCACACACACGTCAGATCCACCGCCCTCCCCGCCCTCTCCGCCCCCGAAGCTGTCGCCGAGGCACTCGCAGCTGCTCCTGCCATTGGGCCCCAGCCTCCCGCAGCTCGCGCTGCCAAACGCTGTCCTCCCCTGACGGCTTGGAAATGGACGGGGGCCGTATACATACATATACGTATATGCATGTGTGTATATACATACATATATGCTATATATGTATCTATGTATTATATATGTATGTATGTACAGTGCATGTACATATTCATGTCTCATGAGCCCACTTCCCTTTCCAAAACATGCTGGTTCAACCAGCGATTCCCCGCCTCGGACAAGCATCGCAGGCGCCAGCACCTCATCTGACCGGCAGGTCTCGGGGGGAGGGGGGATTAATGTTATTACTCGGGTGTTCCTTGCCAGGTGAGTAACTGGTTGGTACCCTAGGTTAAAAAAAACAAAACAAAAAACAAAAAACAAAAAACAAAAACTATGCACAACCAAGCGAACTGCACTGAGGGGGGACTCTTAAGTATAGGTAAACGTCCATTTGCTTGAGCCCCCTGGAAAAATAGACATGTGTCCAGTAGTGAAATCGATCCCCTTTAAAACCAAAAGGTAAGATGAACATATTTTTTTTGAGCAAATGGACATGGAAAAAGAAAAAGAAAAAAAAACAGGCAACCTGGCTGCCCCCAGGCCAGGCCTCGTTGCGCGTCGGTTTGATGGAATATGTTCTTACCGCCACGCCACGAAAAGAGGAAAGAGGTGGCTCAGGTGGCTCACTTAGTGACTAGTGGGTGTTTAGGATTGGTGGGAACTGGGGATTTGAACTTTTGGTTCTTTACACTCCAATTCTAGCTCCGAAAGGCTCCCTCTTTAAAAGCAAATCTGGATACCCCCAGCTCCTTGGCTCCCTGCTCACCTGCTAGACAACCTCCAGCTCGCCACGACCTCTGTTCTTGATGTTGAAGGGACACCCCCCTCCGAAAAAATCCGGTTGAAACAAAGTCACTTCTAGAGGTCTGGATCATTTTACCCCCCATGTTGTTGCTTTCAGGTGGGGGTCTTTGTTCGAGGAACCCCCCTTTTGGTTCGATTTGAAGGGAGCCCAAACGGACCCTCTCTCCTTAGGCTTACCTCCATTTGCACTATCCTCCCCTGAAAACAAATCCACTAGTCATAGATTATCTTCAAAGCCACCAGGTTCACATCAGAAAGCATCTTGAGCAAATGGACCGGTGCTGGGGTCACTGGATTCACCACTTTGGAAGGTTCCAAAAGAGAGAATTTGATGGAATTGTTTCACCAAATTTGACACAGAACCATTGAAGCTGAGTCACACTCACAACCTGATATCAAAATGGTCTAATTACCCAGAGCCATGTAAAGAATTAAGAAGAATATTGTCCTGCCTAACTTGCACCTTGGTTGCTGTAAGGACCCCTCTGCAAACAGTTTTTAACTTGTGGCTCCAATTCGCAAAACCAACCTGACTTCAACCAAAAAGCTAAAGACAAGCCTAATCCGTAGCCCCACAATCAAGAAACATGTTCAACAAAAAGAACGATTAAACACCACAAACAGGTTCACCTTAAAAACCGAAACAACAAAAACCTATGACCCAACTTCTGGCTGTCTGACATTCTGACATGCTCAACACCCCAAAAAACAATTACACGACAAAACCGTGTTCACCTTAAAAACCGGGAAAACAAACAACGAAAAAACAACAATAAACACCAAACACACAACAAAACAAGATTAAACAACAAAAAACCCGTTCACCGAACTTCTGGCTCATAGCTCTCAGGTCTCCCGGCCAGAGCTCGCTCCCAGCGACCTCCCAGGTCCGGAGCCTCGGCAAGGCCGGGAGACACCGAGCTTGGAAAACACGATTTTTCACGTTCCCCTTTCTTGCTTTCAAGGGAATCTGTCCCATTAAAAGGCCGGGAGCCGAGTCCATTGGTTGAAAAAAGGAATCTACCCGGGTCTCGATGGTGTTTGGGCCTTCCAAATTGGTTTTCCGTGGCCCCTGAGGAATTGGTCGGGGTTCTCCATTGGAGAGTGCGGGGGTGTGCATTGGAGGGGTCATGACCCTTAGGGTAGTGTTTTTTAATTCTCCCCTTTTTGGTGTTAAAGGGAAAGAAGAACACGTTTTGCTGAAAAGGAACCTTCTGAAGGTTCCAAAAGGCTCCTGTTGAATGTTAAAGGCTGCAAAAGTTGCCAAAAGGCTCCATGCATATTAAAGGCCAAGATTCCCAGCAACTGAAAAGGCCAGAAGTGATTCACCCAGGATTTTTCCAATGTTTTTCATGCTCCCCTTGTTGGTGTTGAAGGGAGTCGATTTCACGTCTGGAAATATGTCCCGCACTTTTTGCGTAGGGGGCCAAGCAAAAAAGTATTGGGGATATGGGTTGAGGTTCAGGATTTCTCCTCATAACCCCCTTCAACCCCCCACAAACCCCCCACAAACCTCCCACAAACCTTTTCAGGTGCCGCTGTGGGGGTGCCAGAGGTGTGGGCAGGGTCCCTGAAAATTGGAATGAGATAAGCCAACCCAGTTGGTTTCCTTTACGGGAACCCCAAAACCGGCTCATTCCGAACACCCGGACCAGCTACGTAGTTGTTGTGTGTGTGTGTGTGATTGGGGGAGACCCGCGTTTGTCTCAACTCACTTCCGATCGAGTGGAATGGCCCAAGACCAATTTTTTCTTTACCACTATGGTTCAAACCCAAAAAGTGGCTAAAGTCCAGGCATTCCGGAGAGTCAAAGGCCACAAAATATGGGGGTTGGTTGAGGAAACCAAACTTGTTGAGGGTTGCCTCGGGACCTTTGCACATATGTTCCCTGGCATCACCACACAAATCCCAAGATTGGGGACAGCTCCTTTGGCTTTCTCCCCCTTCTAAATCGTTCAATTGGCTAGGACTTGTTGCAAGCCTCAAACAGGATCAAGACTTGGTTGCTTTCTGCTCCCCTGCTAAAATTTTAACTTTTAGTGGTTTAATGAAAACACACCAGTTGGCAAAAAGTTAAAGTCCTACCATCCAAGCAAAATACACCAAAGAAGAGCAGTTGAACAGAACACTCGAAAGACAATTGGCTCTTAGATAGTTTGAGTCTCGAGAAAAACCTGGTACTCATACTGAAGGTTACCCCAAAGACATGTCAATAAAACAGAGGTCGGCTGCACCTATTTCCGGCTGACACTCTCCCTTACCCAGGTTGTGATGCTGGCCCACGTGGGTCGACCTTGTCTCATGGAACCTCTGGGGCGCAGGACAGTACCTATAAATCAATTTTCCGCTTAAGGTGGTAATATACATATCTAGATATACTCGGTTGCGAAATCTGCTCCCCTGCTAAAAGTCTACTTTTTAGTGATTTAACGGAAAATCCACTAGTTGATATAGGTGTATGCATGTTAGCGGGAGGGAGGGTCGAGGGTCCTTCTCAGGAGCGTAGCGCGAAGGTGCTCTGGGTCCCTTGGGGGGCCTAAACTGGATGGTCGTTCCACCAGAATGGTCTTCCCCAAAAAGCCCAACAACTCAGGGAGTGAGAAGTTGATTCGACACCCAAGCGCCGGGTAAACTGCTTCCGGGGGTGGCAGTGAAGAGAGCTCTCCCAGCCACGCTCCATGCTCGCACTTTGATCTCTCGCGCGCAAAACTGCGTGCGAAAAAGGTCGGCTGCTTACGCCACACTCACCCGGTTCACAGGAAGATTGGCGCGTTGATCCAAGAAGAGCAAGGAAACCCTTCTCCCTTGTACGTTGGCCTTTCTCTTGTGTTCCCCTAGGTTTTTCACCCAATGGTTGGCACACTGTGGTTTCCAACAAGCCAATCAAATGACCTTCATCATGGGTAAGTTCGCTCTATCCCTAGGTCAGCTGGCTAAATATAGCGAAAATATGCCCACTGCAAGAACTGTAAACTGCAAGCCTGTGGAATGTAGCCTCAGCACAAGCAGCCAACCATTCGGACGCTTGCCTTTGGCAAAGCGTGGCAGGGTTGCTCCAACAATAGGGCACAACTTGCTAGAATTTGAGTCTCAGTTTCCGACAGGAAAACTATAAAGGACACGAAACCAAATTTCGACCCGTCAGAGCTTGGTCACTGAGTCCATGCTACACAGTCAGTTTACGCGGGCCGCGCTTCACAGTAGATCGTACACGAGAACTTACACGCCGGCTTTCTGGCGCGAACATTATGTTTGAAAATGTGCATTTGCGTCTCCTCAGGAGTCTCACCATGGCAGCTCTGGTCCGAAGGTGGCAACTTTTGAGTACAAAGGTAGTACGAACAAGGAGCGCTTTGGCAAAGGCTCGACCTGTTTGCTATAAAAGTGGTACACTTCTGGATCGAAAGCTGCAACGTAATCCGTTACCCCTTTTAATAGATGGACCCTATTCTCTCTCTGCCGTTGCGACCAGAGGGTCTTGACTCAGCAAGGCAGCGAAAAAGGTGCCCACTGATATTCAGGGTTTAGGTGACCATTTGGGTGGACCCTATTCGTAAAAACGATTTTTCCAGACTGGCTGAAAACGCCGTGTTTCCAAGTACCCGAGCCGAAGCTTACGCTCCAGCGCTGCGATTCAAAGCTGGGGGCTTTGAATGGGCTCACTGACCAATGACCACATTGGACAAGAGTACGCAAGCCCTAAAAAAGCATAACTCGGTTGCTTTCTGCTCCCCTGTTAAAAGTTTAACTTTTAGTGGTTTAATGGAAAACCCATTAGTTGGCAAAAAGCTAAAGTCCTAACATCTAAGCAAAAAACAGTTCAGTACAAACGGAGTACACAGACTGCACTTCGGCAAGCAACTTGCAACGTTTCAGCACAGGTCGTTCACGCGCCGCTTATGCGGAAACTTGTAACAACATTCTTAGGTACGCGCGAGTGCATTTGCTCACTTGCGGGCCTGGTATTGCAAGCCCTTTACTTGATGACCGTTCGAATTATTGGCATGCGACCAATCAACTGTGTCTTGTTGCAGCCATCCACCTAAAATTTGAGCAGAACCAAACAAGTAAAGTCTCAAACATATGCCCAGAGCAGTGAAGGAACGGTCTTAGCGCAAACAAAAGTCCGCGCTTGTGATATCATCTTTTGGAAACTTGGACTTACCCCTTAAAACTCCAAGGATTGGGGAAGTTAACCTTTTACAGACATAAAGCCCATGTTACCCAAAAAGTTGAAAAGTTGTGTTTTTAAGAGGTAAGTGGAGGAAACCCTGCATGCATCCCTTTGGGTCAGTTCCTGCGTGCCTGCCGCTAGCGGCGAGATTCTGGCCAGCCGCTTGCACCGCCCCCGGAAAAGGGCCAAGTGGAATGCAGGAAGCTTGGGCCTTCTTGCGCCTGGGATTCTTCAGGGTGCTCTCCATTCTTGGTGGTTGCACACGAAAACCAACAGGAAAACCACTCTTTTTTGGGGGGGCCCAACGACACACCCATCACACCCATGTTGAAAACACGCCATTTCTAAACAAACGACTTGTCCTCCTTATAAAAGCGCACCAGAATCGGGGTACCAGTTGTGCACAAGTCTGGTTTCTCTGACACGCCCTCATTCTTCCTCACTGTCGCTCTGCTCGTTGCCTCGGTTGCCCGAGGCCATGGACAATTCATGAACCACCCTATCACCTGAAACAGCCAACTACGCAGCAAACAACGGCCTTGGCCCCATTTTCGCACTAAGAGGAAACGTGTCCTGGAAAAAAACGAGCTCCTTTTGCAAGACCCCGTTGATCTAAACTGCGGCTTTGCTTTGGTCATGTCGACGTGTAGCACCGCAAAGGCCAAGGTGTAATGGCGTCATTTATGAGCACATTGCTCAGGAAGCCGGCTGCTTGCCATTCAACCGACCTTTGCTAGCCTTGCTGGGAGTGTAGGGCAGTGGGGAATTGCGCTAAAATCATAAAATCATGCTCCGGGATGTCCGTCTTTGTTTCGGAAGCGTCCGTCAATCAGCGGTCGCTGACCTGGCTATATAGGCTGTTTCAGCAACATGTCCAGCTCACGTTTCATGGAGCGCACGCTGCTTCCATGCTATGCTACAAAAACGCCGACGCAATAAGCCTTTGGTTTGGATCTGTGTCGTGTGGGCAAGTTGCATTATGAAACGCCTCTTGGCACAATTTCGGGGCTGCAGTTGCCCTGTTTAACATGTCCGACACCCCCCTTAAGAACTCCATGAAATGAAAAGGACCAACAAAAGTAATAGAAGCAATAAAATACCTACCTGAAGTCCCCATGACCCTTACAAAATGGGGTCATTACCCAGAAGTAAGGGGTCATGGACCCATTTTTTAAGGGTCATGGAGACTCTAGGCATTCCAAAGTCCAAACTTTATTTTACCACTAAGATTGATCTTCCCCAAAAACATAAAGTTTATGCCCTCAGAAGTGAGAGTAATACCAGCAAACAAATACCTATTCCTAGAACGTGAAGAATTCCTTCTGAGCTGCCGCTGTCGTAGAGCACATTTGGCACTTTGTCTCCTCTCATCGACATGCGAGGCCTCGGTTTGATCTCCGGCGGCCCTCAGAACTGGACCACTTGCTTTCGCGTTTCTGCCCCCGAAAAACAGAAACCGGCTTCCTGTGGTGACAGAATGAATCCCTTTAAAAACAACAGAGAAAAACACACCTTCTTAAGCAAATGGAAGACCATGATCTTGGGAATAACTCTCTAAAATGAGTATATGTATACATACATATATATATATATGGCTGTGGCTCAGGAAACATGGACCAAAACCTGCGTAACCCCTCCTGCTTTAATTTTGAGCCACGCCCATATATATATATATATATATTAGTTCTGACCCAAAGAACAAGGGTTTTGAAGTGAAACTGTGGGGACAATGGGAACCTCAAACGTTGGATGCCGTTGCCAACTGGTTAGCCACATACCCGCTAACAGGTTGTCTTCACATAGGGGATAAAGGAAGAAACAACAACTCAGTTGTTCAGTGACCCTGGAAAAAAAAGGGGAACCCTTTTTGGGGAAGACGGTTTTTGGTGGGGCAGCCACGAGAAAAAACAAAAACAAAAGGAAAAGGGTGCCACTGAACAACTGAGACAACTTTCTAATTCGGCAACGAACGTCCAAGGAGATAACCAGTGTTAGCGGTTCCCGCCGCTAACTACTTGCTAAGTTGCGCCGGAGGCAGGGCTCCAAACGCTTCTGGGTGCCTTCCTTCCCCGCGAATGGGCAAGGGAGAAAGAAAGGCGCCTCCAAAAAGGCATCGGAGCCTAGAAAAGCCAGCAGGGTTTGGCAGGGAAAAGGCGGGGCCCAAGTTTGCCTACGCAGGGTGCGGAGGAAACCATGTGTACATATAGTCACATCTATATTTACAAGGAACATGTTAACCTTCCAATTAACGTGGAACCTGACAGGGGCTCCCGTTTTATCGGGAAAATGGCGTCTTCCATGAGCCCCTGAAGCTGACCACGGTTCCATGTTGGTGGGCCCAACGCCGGGAGAGGCAAGTGAGAACGTGCGGCGGGAAGACTCGAAAGAATGCGCCGGCGCGGTGGGTCGCAAAACCCTAAGCTTGCGTTCCCAAAGCGGGAGGGGATGCGGTTCCATCTAGACCGCGAAAGGGACTTAGATATCTATGTGGGTATATCAGCATTGGTTGTTCACTCTCCACACAATCACTTGATCCCGTGCCCCTTTCCAATCCAGGGACGAAAGAAAGGGGGGGCCCCACCTATACAATGTCCTTACCATAGGTGGCCAAATAGATGGCCCTGGTAAATGAAATGAAACCCATCTAAACCAGTGCCATCATGTGCCATCCATGTTTAAACCAACTAACCAAAAAGAACACCTAAGGTCCTTACAGAACTCCTTGAGCAAATGGCAAATTTGGCTACCCCCGGCACCCAGTCCGGCTGCTGTCCAATCACCAGCTGGCCAGGCAAGAACCACCCGACCAAAACCAACCGAAAGTTCGACTTAAATCCGGCAGTCGCTGGAATCAACGGTTGAGCAATTCACTGGCGGTTGCCATTGAAACCATCGCCATGTTTGGAATCTTCCAAAAGGGAAATGGCTCGGAAACCGTAACCTGGGGTTCCACCTGGCGCATGCTTGCCGAGCGGCGGCTGGGAGATTTGCGGCACGCGGATGGGGAGCTTGCGCAGGCCTGACATAAACGGGGCCGCGCCCGGTGGCGTTTCTCGTCTGGAAAAGTATAGGAAGCTATGTCCCTCCTGAGTGGATTGGCCAAAGCAAGTCAGAATCTTCCCAAAAAGTTTAGTCCAGGAACTCGGGAAGTGAGGCCCAGTAGTGGTTCCCTTTACCGCCAACAGCGAAAAACATGCTCTGGCAACGGAAGACCAAGCTTAGAGCATGAAGCGGAACACCTCACCTGAGTAGAGTGGACCGGCCAAAGCAAGCTTAAGTTGCACTTGCTCAATGGGTGTGCCCTTCTTGAATTACCCCGGTTTTGGACCCCCTTGTGAGGCCACCGCTCAGGCGGGCTCTGAGCTGGCTTTTTGGCTTTCAACTGAGCGGTCATGAGGACCATGTGGTACCTCTTTTTGGAGGTTTGTAAGGGAAACCAAAGGAACACCAACATTTCAGGGGAGCCCTAAGAAAAATGATTTAGAAAGGGGAGCCAACATTTGAAGGGGAGCCCAAAGGAACCCAAACGAACAATGACGTTCAGAAATTTGAGAAGTGAGATACCGCCGTCTCGCTGACATTTGATTTTGCTGCTACATGTCTCCCAGGTAAGGTGGTGAGCGTACCCTGCGCGGACAGTGTTAGTCATTTTTTAGTGAAACAGTGAAACATAAGTTGGGTCAGCGCCGAAGTCCGGTCGCTTGCGCCGAGATTTGTGGTATACTTGAAAATGATGGCGTCTGACTGGGGTGGGGTGGGGGCATTTCGGATCTTTTAAGGTGGGCTCTGGGGTTGGGACATAGGTGTTCTCTTGGGACGTGGATGGACGAAATCCTGAACCACTTTGAAACCATGGTTGAAACCATCGTTTGCTGGTATTTACAGGACAATCGACTCATTCCCGGGTTTCTTAGGTGGTGCCTAAGATGATTTTGTTTACCCATGGCAGTGCAATGACCTCGAACCAAACTGAAGCCAATGCCATCCTGACCTAAACACTTGTGTGTCTTTTGGTCGGATGGGGTGGGCTTGGCTCGGGCAAGGGTGGCTTTTGGGGCGAAAGCGGAAGTGTGTCTAGCCAATAGTGCGATGATGCTGCAATATGCTGCACCTGACTGGGCTTGCGGTTGGTTCCCCATGCCTCAACAAAGCATGACCTCAGTGCTTCAGGGCGTAGTAAAACAACTTGTTTTTCGCAGCCCGCTACTACAAATAAACAGAACAAACCGAGAAACAACATGCCAACAACCGTGACACATCCCCCAGGGATCACCCCTGATTAGTGTGGCCCTCCTTTTGGTACATCCGCAGTCATGATCATCAAACACACTGTAGGTGGACGAAATCCATTTCGCACCGATGATCCCCCCTGTAAGTACCAACCAACGGCATGATTTCAACCATAGTTTCCCAAGGAAAGCTGAGCGTAAAAAGGGACATGAAACGGAACAGTGTAAAGATGCAAACGAAATCAAACTGACACAGGCAGCAGCACTCCTGGGCCTCAAGAGGGCAACCCTAAAGGCCTAGGAACTCAAGGAAACCACTTCCCTTTGCGAAGGACATGGACTTCGCCGTGTCACCTCAGAAACCCTGGTTTCTGATGTTCCCCCCTGTAAATACCAACCAACAGCACGGTTTCAACCATAGTTTCCAAGCGGAAACTGGGATGGGTCAAAATTCAACCACCAAGGGGACCGCAGGTTTTTCTTTCCATTTACCAGGGTTCCATTTCGGGTACCTATTCTTGACCCACCGTCAAGTGGTGCGAGAAGCGGACTTCGCCGCCATCCACGGCATTTCTTTGGGCTCAGCCGCTTTTCGTGTAGAGCGAGCGTGGGGTGGGCAGCTGGTCGCTCGACTTCAAGTTCACCTCCCCTTGATCTGGCAAGCGGGCGGGGGAAGAAAAATCGGCCCGGACCCTGGAACCACCAAAAGGACCCAGACTGGGTCCTCCAGTAGAGAGGAAAGAATAAGGGTACCCGATTTTTTCCTGTAGTCTAGTTGAGTAGGAGGACCCTCCCCGAAAAAAAGGGTAAAAGGGCACTACTGGGGGACATGGCAGAAATACAAGGCTAACCCGGCCCAAAACTGGACAGTAGGGAAACCGAGAAGCAAAAACTGGCAAGTGCTCAACCTGGGTACTCACCTTGGGTTGCCACTAGAAAGCCGCTGCCCAACTAGGTTTCTGAACCTTCAAACTATCCAAAGAGGCAGCCATCTCATAATGTTGGTGTTTTGGATGGATCACATTTTGCAATTGATGGATAAACCCTGAACATCTCTGAACCACCACACTTGCCCGGCGTGCTTCAGCCCCTCCTCTTGGAAACGGCTCTTGCGATCCCTTTGCTGGTGGGGCACAAACAAAACAACAAGAATCAGGCTTTCTGCATATCCTGCGTGGATTCCCTAACCGAGCAAAAACCAGGCGACAAGGTGCCACGAACAACATAAACATATATATATATATATATGTATATACTATATATATACTATATATATATACATATGTATGCATATGTATATGCGTTATATACACCTGTTTGTGCTTAGGCAAAAGGAACATGGCCTTCCCTCAGGTTCTCTCAGCACCATACCAGCCCCCATCTCCTTTGTCTTCGCGCAAGTCTTGGTCCGCAGTGTGACAACCCAAGGGACGTTCCTCAAGTTGTAAGCTGGGTCCGGCAAAGTGAAAGTAGGCAAGGTGGGGCGCCGGGGGGTTGAGATCCCACGAAACACATGGGGCAGCTCGCTGCAGGCTTCCGCCACGCCGTCAGGAGAAAAAACAAACAAAACAAAAACAGGGTTCAGACGGATCACTCCGCCGCAAATTGCCCCCGAAGCTTTCCTCCATGTGGAAAATAACGTCCAACTCGGAAAGCGCTGTTTAACGGGGCAGGCTCCTCATTTCGAACTCCCGGATGGCCATCCCCTCAAAAATCATAAGCCGGAAAAAGGGGTTACCCCACCCCCACCCCCCCACCCCCCAAGAACAAAAAGCATCGAAAAAGGGGCACTACCTAAAAATGCCATCCCCCCGTTCAAGAGGAAAGAATCAGAAGGGGGCCAACCCGACCCCCCTTCCCAACGAAAAGAGGAGCCCCCCCCCCCGCAAAACGAAGAAATCAAAGAAAGAAACAAAGCGGTTCTCCCCTCTCCCAACAAAAGCAGCGAACACTGACTAACTGCCATCCCTGCTAAGCAAAAAACAACATACTAGGACCTCCAGTAGAGAGGTTAGAATAAGGCTACCAACTTTTCCTGTAGTTTATTTTAGTAGGGGAACCCTGCCAAACAAAAAAAGGTGAGAAAGGGCACTAAGCTGCGGGACGTAGTTAAGGGAAGCCAAAAGCACTCACTTCCGATCTTGTGCATGGGCCAAAGAAAGCAACAAACAGCCCTCCCTTGCCAAGCCCGGAAAAAAATGGAAAAAAAGGCCAAGCCATCACCCACCTTTTGCCCCGCCTGGCCAACTCTCCTCACCATCCAAGAGAGCCTTGACCTTCGCCCGGACCTCGCTTCTGGCTGAGGATTTGATGCGCTGGCTGTCGATGTGCGCCAGTTCTGAAGGGTTCAAAGGAAACCTGGTGGCCATGGGGGAAAAAGGGCGTCCCTTTTTTTGGGGTTGGTTGAGTCTTAACGGGGAGCCTTTCCCGAAAAAGGGGAAACAAGGCGCCACTTGAAGGGGAACCCTTCCCAAACGAGGGAAGAAAAGGCGCCAATGCAAAGTCCGTTTTTTGTTCTTGCCAGTCGAGTCAGGAAGTGAGTTAGTCGGCAAACAGCGATTTTTTTGTTTTTTTGGCGGGGGGTCTGGGTCCGGCCCAGCAAGAACAGGCATGTTGGGGTAGACAAAATACACATAATGTCGACCCCATACTAATCAACCCCAGTTTCTTAATAGGGGGTGTCCCTGAGTTTAGTGAGGAATCATCACTTTTTGAGGGGAACACCCCCTAGTAATAAACAGGGGTTGGTTAATATGGTGTCAATATTAGTCATACTTGTTGTGTGTACCCCAGTTGTGGGCCAAGTGAAGGATTTGAAGCAGTTTCCCTCCATTCAAGGGTCCTTCCAGGATGATCCAGCAATGCTGTGCAATCGTGGAGGCTCAGCAGGTTTCTTGCAGTGCAGAAAACATAAACAGTCTCACTTGCCCAAAGCCGACCTTTTGACCTTTTGGTTTTCCAATTTTGGTCCATTTTTAGTGAAGGTCCCAAAAGGTTAACCTTTTATTTCCAGGTCTTTTGGGCAAGTGATCAGTGTTTACAGACATTTTAGGGTTTACGGCCAAACTACAACCAGGAAACTGTATTTGCTAACAAATGCCCGTTTTGGAGCGACCCCGGATTCTGAGCACCTCACACTGGCACGAATCAAAGTGACTCCAACAACTGAAATCACCCTCCAAACGGTGGTGTATTTAATGGGAAGCCACCCAAAGTAAGACTGGAAGACCCCTCGCTCAGTCGCTTTTGGACAGGCCATCTTAGTGGCAAGTTCAACCGGTTTGGTTATGTTTGGTTGCTTCTGTTTGGCCAATCCGCTAGATCGGAAGTGAGAGCAGGTTGTTGACTCAAGATCAGGGTTGTGGGATCAAGGGGTTTATCCCCACTTCTGTGATACAAGGGAATCTTCCCTTTTATATGGTGGATTAGTCTTTGGGAAGCCCGGGTTGTTGCATCACAGAAGTGGATTCCATTTCCCACAGCCCTGCTCAAGATTGGTTTAGCCAGGCGCGCGGGCTTTGAAACGATTGGTTGAACATGGTCGGCACATTGAACCGAGCCTGGCTGACCACTAAAACTGTCTTTCCAAAAGTTCATGAGCTTCAAAGAAACATGAAGGCATCCCCAGAAGCGAAAACAAGTTGAAAAGGTCAGCGATCTGTCTGGCAACGTCCGGAGGAGACAAGCCAAAAAGTTCAGTTGGGTGACTTGGATGTTGTGTTGTGACTGTATGCTTTTTGGGGGTAGTGTAAAGGGAAACCAAAAATAAAGGTACCTGCTTGAAGTTTCGCTGTGGCTCCAAACATGGTACCCAAAATGGCCCCTTAAATAGAAACAAAAACGAAAAAGTGCGGCTTGCCCGAGCTCCTGAACTTTGAGCCACGCCCAGAAATGAGACAAACCCAGTTCCCCATCCAGGCGCGTGAGGCCAATGGTGCTGCGCTTGTTCCTCCAGAAGCTCGCGCGTGCGTGGCCTTAGCTGAGGCGAGCAGCGCGAGCACAGGTTCAAATCCTCAAAACACCAACCAACAACTGAGGCTTATCCGACAGTGGGTTTAGATTGGATTCTCCTTCAAACGTATTAAGAAACTGGAAGGGGTTCCATTGTTGATTGCCCCGAGGTAGACTTAAGCTTTCTTTGCCTTCGAAAGGAGACTTGTGGTTGTCAAAAAGTGAAACCCGCCTCAAAATCAGCTTCCCTCAAACAGGGTGGCTTGGATTGGTGGTTTCAACCTTTAGGGTGGTTTCCCATTCACCCTGAGCAAGAACCAGGGGTTCAAACCGCAGGAAACCAAAGAGTTGGGCAGAAGCTGTTGGAACAACCATCTGGTTAAAGGTGGACCAAAATGGAGTTTAGTGGTTAAGCATGTTTAAACAACTTGGCTTTAGGCCGAAGCGTTTGTTGGACCACTTTTCCAAGTCATGCCATACCTCTTGCCCGAAGGACCTAAGTTAGAAAGGCAACTTGAGCCAAGGTAACGCAAGAGAACACCACAAAGGGAGCACATGGGAGCACATTCCCGAAACAAAAACAAACAGCCGGCAATGGGGCCCGACCAGCCTGGGTCCCGCGAGAGGAAACAGTAATCTGCAGGCAAAGCAGGTCAAGAAGCATCGAATGTACCCTAGATTCTCTGAACAAAATGACGAAATGTCTCCAACCCCAAAAAAAGGATGCCTTCGGACAAGACAAACATATGCTCAGCCAAGTGCCCCCAATAGATTCTCAGCCGCGCGCTCCTAGCTCCGAATAGAACCGGGAACAAGCACTGCAACTGAACTGGGATGATCAGGACCAATCGGTCACTTTGCCACCGAATAACAGCTCTTCTGGCTGGTTCTCAACAGTGAATGAGGGAAGGACCCTACAAACCATCAATGACCCCCTGTATATCATCCCCTATATTCCCTACTGAGCACCAGCAAGTCTCGAGCTCGTGAAAAACCCCTTGCATCGAGGTTGCACATGGGAAATGAACATGGGGTTGATCAACATTCCTGGCCCCCAACTTAACCATGGGTAACTTTTCCGGTGGGGAAATAACATGTTCTTGTGCTGTTCATCCCCGGTGGATAGAGTTCTGCTGTCTGTGATGCGCTTCGGGCAACGGCGATTCCTCTCTCAGAACCAGCCCAAAACAGGGGTCCCCCCAAAGGTCCCTGGGCGGTCCATTGTTAGATTGAAGAGGCAGTTCTTGAAAAGGCAGCGGCCAGGCAAGCTCCATGGCAATGTGCGGAGGGAAGGGGGAGCACAATCCTTTGGGGTTGGACCAGCCACATGAGAAAGGCCCGCCCACATGGTTACAGTAAATCATATTATTTTTTCAACCACCTCCTGTTCTCACTTCCGATCGAGTGGATTGGCCAAACAACGTCTAAACTCTTTACTTGCCACCAAAACATGTCCAAACCCAAAAAGTTTAAGTCCAGGAACTCAAGGAGTAAGTGTTTCCCGGAAAGGGGGTCGAATCAAATCGGCCCCCGTTAACGCGAAAAACTCACCGAGCTTCTCCTGGGGGAAGTATGTCATCAGCAGGTGCCGGCCAATATCGTGCACACCGTCGCCTGGGTTCGCGTCTGGGAAATTCCTGCAACTCAAACACCCTACAAACCACCACTCACTTGCCGTCAGCAACAAAAGGCCAATCACCTCTTGGCAACTTTTCTAAAATATGTACCGAATGCGGAAAACCAACAGGTGAAAAGGAGCAGTGAGATCACGAGAAACTCGCCTATGGCCCAAGAAGGTGTTGCTCAAAAACTGCAAGAACTGGACCTTAACAAGGCCAGGAGCTTTCCTCCAGTTGGTTTAGATTGGTGTCTTGGAGGGCTTCACATCCAACCAATCCACACAAACGGGGAAAAATAATTAGGGCGTCAGGTCAAGGACAGTGTCAAGGACCTACATTCGCACCACGAACGGAATCCTTGGTGGAAACAAGAACGTTTGTTGGTATGTACGTTGGGGAATCGAATCATTTCAGGATTTGCGAACGGTGGTGCGAACAGATTTCCTCCACCAAAAGTAGCACAGTTCCCCCATGTCAGGTGTAGTCCTTCCCTTTACTTCCCGCCAAACAAGCCTGATAAATTTCACTGTTGTGGGACACGTCACATGTTAGGAACCCGAGACACCCCCAAAACCTCACCCCCGGCCTTAAAACAGCGAGGTCTGGTTGAAACACGGCCCAATGGAAAACCACAATGAAAATCAATACCATCTGCCAGGCTTAAAGATTGACTTACAATGATTGTGTATCCAACAGCTTGCCAGAGACGCCCTCCAATATGGGGGAAATCGAAGAATCTGCGAATGCGCAATGATTCAACGGAAAGCCTCGCGATGCCAAAGTGGGAGTCTCATCCCTACAACCTGGGTTTCTTGGTACGGTCAAGCAACGGGGCATGAAGCCTCATGTTTATCATTTCTATCGTAAGGTACGTGGGTTGCTTGTTTTCTGGTCCAGTGTGGTTGGTGTATTCGAAACATTTGGGGCATCCTCCACCGGAAGTGGCTCAAATCCCTGATTTTCCACAACCATGTATTGAACAACCCCTTAAGAAAGGGTTCCCTCTACTATTTCCCCCTGAAACATCACCCCTACCAAAGGAAGCGCGTAACAGTCACCCGGCTACTTTGGAGAGTCAGGGGCCTGCGTGATCGGAATTGCCAGCAAACAAGTCTAAAAATTGCTTACCACCAACATGATCTTCGCAAAATGTATAACGTCATGAGCGGAACTCAGGGAGTGAGAAACTCACTATCTGAGTAAATTGGTCAAGGGAAATCTCTGACGTCCACACAACACTCGGGGAGTTGACTTGACTCGTGCAACAAGAAACCTAGGGAGAGCCACAACCCAAACGAAAAAGATTGCGAGAGAAGGGATCTCTTTTCAGGATATCGCAAGCCTTCTGCGTGAAGCATAAATTATGAACATGCCGAGCAAAAGAAGTCTTTAGGTGATGAATTTTCCGGTGACACATTGCTCTTGGGAAAAAGCACAACATTAAAGCCTAGCAGCCAGAAGTGGAAAAGGAGGCAATGCCAAAAATCACATGAATCACGTGTCAAGATGCTGCGCTCCGAGGCCAATTGAAGCAAGGCGTCCAGCATCCCTGCCTCATGTTTCCATGAAGCGCGGCCCAAATGCCTCCCAATCGAACAGCTTACAATTTCCCATGATTGCGCACGGCCCCCCATACCTTTCAGAGGTCCCCCCCCCCGGCACAATCCAAATAGGGCCCGAAAAAAAAGGGGGGTGAAGACTTTGGGACTGGGGCCCAGGTTCATGATTCCCAGCACCATTGAGGGGAGAAAAGGTCTTGACAAGGGAGCCTATTGAATGGAGTGTTGATCTGGCCTGCGATGCGGCGTTGCAGTGACTGAACGAGAGTCTGTCTCAATATGGCTTCCATTTGGTGTCCCTTTCAAATCAATGCAGGCAGCATTGGGAGAAGTAGTCCCAAAGAGGACACACCCGCTCTCCGGGGAAGACTCGAAAATGGAGATGGGGCATCCCACCCCCTTCCCCCCCACCCTCGGATATTTTATGGAAATTGTTCTGAGGAATCCCCGAAAAGGGAACCCTTCATTCTACACACATGCTGCATTGTTTCTGTTGTTTTTTGCATTCGTCAAGTGAGTGGCGGTGCCCAAGTGAAAAGTGCGGACACGCTGCATGTGATCTCCAGATTGTTACGAAAAAATGTTTTCCAGGGATTCTTACATTCTACAGCTGAACATTGCCTTGTAAATGGTGGGTTCCCTTTATTTTGGTGGAAAAAGCCATGTTTCAAATGGGCAAAATGTATCTGTTTTGGAGACTAGCCTTTTGGCTCCTTTTTGCCCTTCTAGGTGTTCTTCATTGTCCATTTTTCCACCAGCAAGCATCAAACTATATGGTCTTGGTTTCACCCCCCAAACCTTCACAACCCTTGGTACGGTAGCAAAAAACTCAACCTACAAATGAACAGAACAAAAGCACTTTTTGGGGGGCAAACAAGCAAAACCCCGAAAGCAAACAAAAAAGGCACGGTCTTGTCACACCCCAACTTCCATTTGGTTAAGACCCCTAGGAAAAAAAAAAACACTATTTCCAGTAGTGATGGGTTCCCTCTAAAACCAAAAGGGGAAACAACATATTCTTAAGCAACTGGAAGATTCCAGATCTGGGCAATACCAGTAAAATAGCTTCCTTGGCTACGGGGCAGCAGCCCCCAAGCCCGCACCAAAGCTAGGCGGCACCTCGTTGGAAGCCATCGTTGTTCCAACCCCCATCGGTGCCATCCCTTTGGTCTATGTAGCTTACCCCAAAAAAGAAACGGTACAAGGGCACTACCGGGGGACCTGTTTTCGTTGTGCCACCCCCCGCCCGCCATCTTTTGGGGAAGACGAATTCCAAGACGCCGAGAGCTTCTCGGAGAGGCCAGCCACCGCCATGATCGCGGCGCACATGCCTTTCAGCACCTGCGGTTCTCGTGTAAGAAATTCTCGCGAGGCAGGGGGGTTTGCGGGGGGGTTTGGGGGGCACAAGGGGATTCTCCCCGTTCTCCGAATAATTATCCTTCCATTTGGTTTTTCGAACATATTTCCAATAGTGAATTCGATTCCCTTTTAAACCCAGCAGCGGAAAATGACAAAATATTCTTCAGCAATGGAAGTCTCGTGAGGAGGGGGTCTGGGGGGCACAAGGGAATTCACCACCATGCTCACCTCCGATCCAGTGGATGGGCGGAAAAAGTTCCCAAGCAGCTACTCAGGAAGTGAGCCATACTAAGCTTCAGCAGAACGGGGGGGGAGAATCCTACGGTGATCTTCCGTTTGCTAGAAGCCCCCCTGGAAATCATGTTCCCAGTAGTGATCAATTCCCAGATTCCCGTTACAACCAACAAGGGAACATATATTATAAATGTTTAAAACAGATCCTTAAGTCAGTGGAAGTTTTGGCGCCCCGGGGTGCCAACTGTGATAAGACATGACCTTCGATGCCAAAATATGACCTGAAACATGACGTACACAAGACCTTTGACAACCCTAAAATACATACCCCAGTAGAAGCAGGTCGATTCACTTCCGAAATGGATTGGCAAAACCTAACTGCTCATTTGCTACCAAAACTATCTTCCCAAAAAGTTTATAAGTCCAGGAACTCAGGGAGTGATACAATGAGATAATGACCCCAGTAGGGAAAATGTTGAAACAAATAACCACCAGTAGAACCTGCCCCATTTGTTTGCCACTATCAGAGTCACCCCCGGTGGTAGGTAAACCATCAACCAGTTTCTGACTTCCATTACCCACAGAAACAAAACCAGTATGATGATGACCCCAGTAGACAAAAGCAATGCTGACCCCGGATCAATAAGCCCCGGCTTATTCATTTGCGGTTGTTCCCCTCCAAAAGGGATGACCCCGCCACTAAAACCAGGGTTAGTAATCCCTGATATGAAAAAGAAAGAACAACGGACCTCCGTAGAACTGGCTTCATTAGAGAACAAAAAGGGGACACCTTTCTACTGTTGGTGGACGAAATCCTGCCCCACCTCACAATCCCTGACAATACAAACCACCTTGTATTCAACCATGGCTTCCGTTCGTGGTGCGAAACTCGCGGACTTCGCAACCATCCACAGCATTCATCAACCAGGGGTTCTGCTTAGATCCGGGGCTTCTTGTAGAAAAGCTCACTTGACGGCCCAAAAAAAGAAGATACCACCACCACCACTACTACTGCTACTACTACTGCTGCTGCTACTACTGCCTACCCCTACTACTACTACTACTACTACTACTACTACTACTGCTGCTGCTGCTGCTGCTGCTGCTGCTGCTGCTGCTGCTGCTGCTACTACTACTACTACTACTACACTACTACTAGATTTTGCATACCACTGCAAGATACTACAAGGGCCCAAACCCAAAAAGTGACTCAAGTTCATGATTTCAAGAAGCAAGACAAGGCAAAGCTTCAATAGGATAGCGGGAATTCGAAGCGTGAAGGCCACCTCAACGGACTTCTCCCGCGAGAATCTCTCACAGGCCATCCCTGCCGGGATTGGTCGAGTTGGGTCTGCATCTGTTTTTGAGGATTCGGACCAGCCAAACTGGTGGTTCTTCTTTTGGCTCTTCCATTGAAAACACACACACAAACCGTACTATCCTGAGAAGAACGACACACCCATTGATGTGTCGATAGGGTAAAGGGTATTTGTGGGCCTATTGACGTGGGTGTGGGTCAACATAGGGATCTGGACGCCAACAATGGTGGTGGTCCTGTTAATTTCCCTCTAACAGCCCACCTGAATAGCGCCGATGTTGCAACAGCCTTCATTTGGGGTCTTGGTCGGGAGACGCTCGAAGCGTTCTCTTGCTGGTGCTCAGTAGGGAATGACCGAGTAAGAGGGTGTGGGGGATGAACGGGGATTCCCTTGAAGGAAATACCACAGGTTGGATGGTGTTTCTCGGCATCAGTCCATTTCTCGCACCAGCTAGCCATGGCCCTGAAAAACAACCCCGACACGGGAACACAGGGTCCAAGTACCTCAGAACACGGCTTTTGGGGGGTCCTCCAAAGGAGTCCTTCAGTACCTCCTTAGAAGGTGTTTTTTTGGTTTGCGCCAGCTTTTTTGCGCCAAGGGCGCGGAAGCTGAGATGACCAGACTCTCCCCTGCCATTCTTCCGGTCGGGGAGTCGAAAAGGGGGGGGGGTAGTCTCGGACTTCCAAATTCGCGAGGCTCCCGCTACCCCAACTCCATGATGACTCCATGTTTGTTTGTTTTTTGGCGACCTTTTTGTGGGGGAAAATCAAATCCACTTGGTGGGGTCCCATGTTGTCCTCAGATCCCTGCTAAAAGTCTAACTTTTAGTGGCCCCACTAAACCCTAAAAAGCTACAAAGCTAAGGAACCGGATGGCTGGGAGCCACCAAGCCAAGGTGATCACCTTTGGGATTCAACTCAAGCTGCCCAGTCAGTAAGCGCCCATGAAGATGACTCCCATTACCACACAAAGCTCACAGCGAGAACGTGTTCGAGGCAAACTTTCTGACACCAGCCGAGCCCCGGGCTCTCAACTTCAATGAGGCCGCAAAAAGGCGCATTTTTGGTAATTTCTCAGATGCCCGGTGGATCTCCCTGGGGAAAAAAGGGACTTCTTTTTTGGTTGGTTCACTTTGAAGGAATCGGAACCCTTCCCAAAAAGAGGAATCACGGGCACCACTGGGCAGCGCGGTCATAAAAGGCCATTCTCTTTCCCCAGCTTCAGATGTGTCCCTTTCGGAACTCGAGGAAGGGCTCAGGTATTGCATGAAACGTCGAATGGGCCCGTCAACCGGATACGTGGATACGTAGGTCCCATTCCGAAAGCTTCCACATCGAAATCCATCCACGAGGGAAGTTGAGGAAAACACATTTGACATGGCCCTCTTCTTAGCTTTTTCCTCAGCCAAACGACAATTGGTTGGACTCCCTTGTCCATACTGAAGCCCTACAGAGATGTTGGGACAAACCACCAGTACCACCTGGTGGAGTTTGCCATGCGCAGGAAAGCTTCGGTGAAAAACTCTGGCCATAAGCTCGCAGACTCACTCCTCAATGTGCCTCTGTTTGATTTCCCAGCCGGCAATGTTCTTCAGTCGAACCAACTGGATTCGCCATTTTCAGCCGGCAAACACAAACTTGGTTGCTGCTGATCCCTCTGCATTTTTGTGGGTTTAGTGGAAAACTCAACTTGATTTCCAAAAAAAGTTTCAAGTCTGAAGACCCGTTCCCCAATAGCAGTCAAGCAATTATCATTATTGGTGGAAGTCATCCTCGCCATCTGGCGAGCCATCCGGCGCTTGGTAGGTTGCCTGGAAAGCTTCAGAAAGGCTCTGGGCTCTGTGGGTTGAGTCCTACCCAAAGTACTTTGACCCGAAGATACTTGTACCTGGGCCTTGGAGTCTTGGGTGAATTCGTGGCCTGGTAACGTTGGTCGACAACCTGCCCACGTTTCTCCATGTGAAGCTGGAACTCAAGTGGCCATGGGGCATAACCTATGGCTCCATTTTGGGGTGGATGAACATCCATCGGCCACCTATTTTGGTGTTTACCAGGGGTACCAATTGTTTTGACCCACCGCCAAGTTGGGTTTCACTCAGCGAAGGCTAAAGGCTGGTGGCCTGCCCAAGCTGAAAGGACAGGGCAAGCGCTTGGTCGAAGACCTACAAGTTGGCTTCTGAGTCGGATCGCACTCCGCCTGACGTGGCGCGGAGGCAGAAGATCTCGCGATCCAAGACGAGAAGGAGCGTCTCATCAAGCAAGGCCGCCTCACTCATCGGGCTACAAATCGAACCCAAAGGGACTCCAAAGAGACACAAAGGCACCCAAAGAAGGTAAGTGGCCGGTTTTTTTTGGGGGGGGTTGCGGGTGGTGGGGTTGTGGGTTGTGTTGGGGGTTTGGGTGGAAACACCCAAAACTCGGTGGATGTCCATGAGGCTTGTCAGCCAACCATGCTTTGGAGAGAGTCCGACAGTGGTAAGGAAACCTTGGCCAAACTGGTCCGGCTGCAAAGAAACAAACAGTTTGTTGGTTAACAGTGAACATGGAACACCGAAAGGGCAAAAAGCGAGGCAGGGAAACAGGATGGGCCACTGAACCCGGACAAGTTACACAGTTGAACGGGGAATCCATGTAAAATATATAAACGCAATATAAACATGTCGGCACTTCCGCAACACGCAGTTCCCTTTGAGCAAAGCCCACTTCCACGTAAACCGCTTTCCGCGGACGTCCCAAAAGAAAAGCCCCCTTCGAATGATCTTGTTGGGCATCCTTTTCTTGGTTGCTGGAAGGACCCCTCTGCAAAACGTGTTTCACTTTTTTGTGAATTTAATACAAAACCATGATTTCCCTGGGTTAAAGTCTAAAAATCAAAGCAAGTTTTGAAGGCAGTGTTCAACATCCGAAAGTCCACCAATCGGATTTATTAGCACACACAAAGGGATGTGTCTCAAAATTGTCAGGTGCCTTTGAGGTTGTTGGATTCCTTTTGGTTTCCCGTGAACACCATCCAAAAAAGGGGCCCTCTATTTTGCTGGTGCTCAGCAGGGAATGAGGGAATGACCCCTATACACAATCCTTTGTGGTTTCCATTGCGGGGACCCCCCAAACAGTTCATCCTACTCAGCAAGCAAAAATGGGAACCCCACAACACTCGCAAATCGTGAACACATGTTTTTTTTTGCAAAAGTTAAGTCGCCCAAAAGTGAACTGTTGCCCAAAATTTTGACTCACTTGCTGAGTGGGTGGCCCAAAACAAGTCCAAACTTCATATTTACCACTCAAATGGTCCAAACCCCAAAAAGTTTTAAAGTTCATGAACTCAGGAAGTGAGGAAAAAAGGAAAGCCCTTTCAAAAGCTTCAGCGGGTTGTGGCTTCCAGTGGATCCCTCCAGAGGCGTTGGGGCCCAGGCGTGGGGAGCCATCCAGGCAGCCTCTGGGCTGCCCTCCGAAAGCCTGAGACAGTGGAGGGTGGAGTGGGGGGTGGGGTGGGGAGGGGTGGGGGGGAGGGGGTGGGTGGGGGGGTGGGGTGGGTGGGGGGGTGGGTGGGGTGGACCTAGCAGCCTCAGAAAGTGTCGGAAAGTGGTGAGCACCCACTGCAAATGACACTCCGCGGGGGGGTTTTTGGGGGGGATTTGGGCCTACACAAGGGGTAAGTGACCTCGATTCGCACCCCCAGTGACACTCAAATGACACGCTGTGACACCCAAAACGTCATGATCCGGCGAGGCCGGGAAGGCCCCAATCAAGTGTGGCAGTTAGCTGTTCGATTTCAACAGGATCCCAACCTCATCAAGCCACAAAAGGGCACTTAGCAAACGAATCAAAGGGTCACTTAGGGAACCGACACGGCCTTAAGTGCCCTCGATTCACAAACACGTCAAGTGCCCTTGGTTGAAGGGCACTAAAAATATGCTGTCCAGTGTGTTTTTGTTGAGGGTGCCCGCTTTAAGCGCCGAAAGGGAAACCACAAAAAACAAGCAAATCCATGTTCCTGTCAATGGACGAACTCCTGCACCACTTAAGAAACCCTGGAATGATTCGATTCCCCTGCAAATACCAACCAACGGTATGGTTCCAAGCGTTGTTTCCAATTGCTTTCTGCTCCCCTGCTTAAACTTTAACTTCGAGTGGTTTTAATGGAAACCCCACTAGTTGGCAACAAGTGAGAGTCCTAACACCCCTTGGCAAAATGCAAAGGAACTTCGCCACCACGGTGCTCAACCCGACCCGAACTCCACGCCAGGTCCGCTGAAAACCGCCGAGCTGCGCTTTCAGGAGGCTGCAGAAAGTAGAGACTCGGTCCACCACTTCCCCCGGGTCCTATGCGCACCGAACCCCGTGAGCTGCAGAATCTCGGCACAAAACCCTCCCACCGAGCACAGCTCCATGCTTTCGCTTTCGGGGGGGGGAAAAAAGGGGTACTGGAGGGGCGACATCATTTACAACCTGCCATGATCATAACTTACCTTTGCTAGGTCCTCCAGTGGAGAGGTTAGAATAAGTTGGTATTTTTTCTGGTTTGTCTATTTTAGTAGGGGAACCCTCCCTACTAAAAAAAGTTGGTCAACGGGCACTACTGGGGGACCTAGGCACGCTTCTTTGCAATTATATATATATATATATAGTTATATGTATACATATAGGTACACATCTCATGACTAAATAAATTAATATAGTCTAGTGGATTAGTCATAAATAACATTAGCCCGTGTGTTGCCTTACTGTTGTTGTGTAAAAACCTCAAAACACGAAACCACTATATATAACACAATATCTGTCAACTGAAACATTTGAGAGCCTTAATACATATTCACATGGTCCTTTTGCTACGGCGGCTTGAAGGACTTGGTGACCGGTGAGTGTTTACAACATGTCGTTTGCTCCATGTTGGATTTACTTAAACTGGATAATACTGACCTCATATTAATCAACCCCAGTTTATTAATAGGGGGGTGTCTCCCTGGGTGTAGTGGGGAATCATCACTTTTGGAGGGTAACACCCCCCTATTAAACTGGGGTTGATTACTATGGGTCAACATGATAAACAAATTGAGCTGATTAGTTTGACTCAACAAAAAAATGTGACTTTTGGAACATGTTTGCTTACACTGACATTGACCTTCCCAACCCGTAAAAACTGGGAAGCGAGAAACCGTGCAACTCGGAGCGGCCAGAAACAAAACGAATCTTCATACAGTGTGTTGGTCTCTCTCTCTCTCTCTCTCTTTCTCTCTCTCTGGTGTGTCACTTGATTTACTCGAGCTCATTCACAGTGTTGATGTCGCGCGTGGACACAATAGCGCATGCATTCGTGATTGATGTGTCCAAAAGGGACATATGGGTATGTGTCAAAACGGGGGGGGGCTGCTGGCCCCCACAAGTGGTGGTGTTCAATGTTGGTGGTTTCCCCTTTAAGCCAACTCGAAAAAAAAGCACCCTCAAAACCGCCAGCCTCCAGGCGTTCCACCTCGATGAGCGTAGTGATCCCTCAGCAACCGCGTGGGGTTCAAACAGAAATTTAGTTGCCCAAAGGACCAAAATCGGGAAAACCAAAAGGTCGGCCCTGGGCAAGTCAGTAAATCGAGACTGGGTGCTCAATGGGTGTGCGTCACATAGGTGGATACTGAAACAGCTTTTCTCTACGCCACCCGGAACAGTACACTCAACAAAAACACACCGTCACCCAAATAACGAGAAACCAAAAGGAAGGATCTCAGATCCCTTGTAAGAATCCCTAAGTTGCGGAGACACTTTCGGGGAGTGAGCTTCGTTGTAAATGAGGTTTCAACAATGGCCGTTCAAACATGTTCAGGCAAGGGGTACATCACCGAACTTCTCTTGTGAACATGACTTGATTCCAGTCAAATGAGATAGGCCCTCATTCCAGCTGCCCACTGACCTGCAGGTGCAAAAAGAAATGGAAGGCTTTTCGCGTTGATTCCGTCCAAAGGGAACTCAAGCAAAAGGGATCTTAGAGGGTACCACTAAATGACTGGGTTGTGGCAGGTTGTTTGTACCTTGTGCCAAAAACACAACTGCTCATTTGCCTGTTGTCAATTTTGCTGGGATAATTAGCTAGGCGAGTGGCAGGGTTCCTTAAACGACAAGTCTTACCACCTACCTTGACAAGGATCCTCTAGATCAATCCTTTAGTTTACCACTAAACTGGTCTTCCCAAAAAGTGTGAAGTCCAGGAATGAAGAAACGAGCTCATTCAAAAAATGGATTTCGGTTTTCCAGCTGGCCTCCCTCCAAAAAGAAAAGGAAAAAACAACTGCCAGCCCAAGGCCTCGACCCCAAGGCTTCTCCAAGGGACGTTGGCGATACAGCTGCTTGAGACTCTTGCTGGCGCCCTGGCGGAAGATCCAATGACCACCAAAACCGGTAACCCCCCGAAAAAGTGAATTTCTTTTTGGGCTAGGTCCTTCAGTGGAGAGGTATAGAATAAGAACACTTCTTCTTCCATTTGTGTAAGTCGATAGGGGAAAACAAGAAGCTACATATTCTTAAGCAGGGCTGTGGGAAATCACCACTTCTGTGATACAACAGATTCCCTTGTATCACAATGAAGTGGGGGTACCCCCCATGATCCCACAACCCTGTTCTTAAGCGAATTGATGGTTTTCAGTACTTTCTGTTTTCTGATATGCTAATTACGTGGTTGCCACAAAGTCCGCATGCAGTCCGCCTCCTGCGTTTAGAGGGTGTCCAAAGAAGGAAGTCAAACGTTTTGCCCACGCCAGACATGGGGATTGACGTCGTCCATGGGGCCTGAAATAGCAATTTCTCCTTGCTGAGCCCCGGAAGCATCTCCGACTCTATGTCTTTTGCATTGGGGGCTTATGTCTTGTCCTTTCAGCCAACCATGCGCGTAGGCTGCATGTCAAGCGCCGCAGAAAGGCAAGAGAAGGGAAGTGCAAGGGTCTTTTCTAGGTCCGCCAGATTTGAGAGGTTGGAATAAGGCTACCTGTTTGTTTTGGGTAGTCTGATTGAGTAGGGGAACCCCTCCCCAAAAAAATGAAACGGCAAAAGGGCGCTACTGGGGGACCTAGTTTTAATTGGAACGAATCTGCGCTTCGCTTTCGGGATCCCGGAGGACCACCGGGAGACGGGGAGGGCCCGCCCCCGGCCTTGTCGAAAACGCCGCGGCGTTCCAGCGGCCGACCCACGATGCTATCCTGAGCTGAGGAGGCAGATGTCGCCGGGGCGTTGGCCCGTTCCACCCCCAAGAACTTCAAGGGGATATTTCTAATTATTCTTTCCAGGGATCCTTCAGTCCAAAAAAGCACCCAAAACCCCAGGGAAACAGCGATCGGTTGTTGAAAAGGACGATGGTTGAAAAGAATGGTTGGAATGAACCCCTAGAAAACTGGTTGGTTTGTTTACCTCCACTCAGGGACACCCAAACCGCTGGCCAGTAGTCTTTAGAGTACCTCGCAACTCAAGACCCTATTCTAATTTTCACTCCCTCAGTTTCTGGACTTTGGTCACTTTTGCGGAAGAGTGCTTTCCTTCAAACTCACCCCCTTGGTGCCGTTTCGGACTTTAGTCACTTTTTTGGTTTGGATTTTGGTGGCACATATCCAGTTCTGACTTCTTAGGTAATCCCACGTCAGAAAGTGAGAATAATTATACCCTTACAAGATGGCAAGTGTGTCTCGCGTTGTCCCCTGGTTTAGCCTAAACCTCATCCCTCAAAAAGGGCCATGAATAATCAATTCTGGGAGTTTAATGCCGATTTGCCACTTGGGGAACCGCGTGAATCCTCGGACGTCCAGAAAACCGTGGGCTTGTTCCCAAATTGAGCGGTTTCTCGTTTTGCCATTCTAAACGGGGGTGGCCAATGGCCTGAAAAATGGATCGGCATGTACACCTCGAGGAGCCCAGAGGCCTATTTGCGCCAATGGACAACCTGAGGCTGCAGCGTCTCATCTCCCCTGGCCCTTTTGAGGGAAAAAAAGAAATGAGATATTCCCAATGGACGAAAAGACATGGAGGCCTTACGTTGAAAACCATGGGATTCGAATCGCGTTTCTCTTCAGCTAGCTTCCACTCGGAAACCAGCAAGCCCCCCCACTTTCATCTTCCGAAAAAATTAGCCATTCCGTGGTGGCTGATCCCACGTGGACTTGCAAAATGGGATCGCATCCACCGAAAGCATCACCTGGTCAATCGGAAACCCTGTGCTTGCAACCAAAGGAAAAGAAGCCTCTCATACGTTCCATGCCAGTTGGCCCTTCAAAAGGGGCCCTGAGTAAAGGGGTCTAGGGTCAACCCAAACGACTCAGCTGCGGTGGATGGACACACACATGGGTTTGGTGGTTTACCCAAGCTTTCACCGGAAATTCCACCCCAACTGGTGCAGAACTTTCGTCCATTACTGGGCAACTCAAAGGTCGGATCAATCCGGTCGATCAAAGTTCTCTGTGCAACGGAGGGGGGGTGTACCACTTAAACGCCAAGTGTTTTTGTTTTTTAATCTAGGAACGCAAAAGCACTACTTTTTGTTGCTGCTGGTTTTTTTTTGCGATTCAGAACTCCCCATGCAAAACAGACTTTGAACAAGGGCACTCCAGGTATAGGGTGGCCTTTTGGCGAAATTGATGGCCCTGGATGGCCTGGTACACCAGCGCCATCTATTTTTAACAAACAAACAAGGACACTTATCTCGGTTGCTTTCTGCTCCCCTGCTAAAAGTTTAACTTTTAGTGGTTTAACACGGAAAACCCACTAGTTGGCAAAAAGTTAAAGTCCTAACATCCAAGCAAAATGCACCCCCTACTAGGTCCTCCAGTAGAGAGGTTAGACTAAGGGTACCCTTTTTTTCTGTAGTCTATTTTAGTTAGGATAGTAAAACGGCACTACTATACCTATTCTCGGTTGCTTTCTGCTCCCCTGCTAAAAGTTTAACTTTTAGCGGTTCAATAGGAAACCCAAGCAAAATACACCAAGCAAAACGCACCAAAGCTATGACTCCAGGCCAACGAAGCGTAAAATAAATTCCCATGCCGGGCGTCAAACTCCACGGCCGTATAGGTTTGGCGTATGCCGTACACCTCAGCGCTTCAAATCCGAAGCAAACTGGGCGCATACCCAGTTGAGCGGGCAACCCACTAGACAACCTCCATTTGCTTAAGTCCCCGGGAAAAATGATAGAAAATATGTCCAGCAGCAATAGATTCCCTGTACAAACCAAAACACGCAAAATACAACATTTCTTAAGCAAATCCAACAAGGGGAAAAAACGAAGAAACAAACATATTAAGCAAATATGTGTTCCCCTTAAAACCAACCAGGGAAAATACAAACATATTCTTCAGCAAACGGGAGTGCCCGGTCGGCTTGCTTCCGTACCTGCTTTTCATTTAGCGCCGAGTAGATGTTTGAACTGCTTGAGAACCCCCTGTTTAGTAGGTTTCCCAAGGTTGCCTCAAAAACTCGGTCGATGGGAAGCGTTCACCTAATTACATTTGACATTCAACTGGGCAAATTACTAGACTATACATATCGTCCAAGTCTTGGTATGGTAGCATAACTGTGTGTTCTTCGCATCCCCCCGCTGACAGTGAACAGAACCAACAAACTAAGTCTGGGTTGCTCTTGAAGCCGAGAGCAAAAGGTCGGTCACCAACATCGCAAAACCCTTTAGGGAGTTAGTGGCGCTTTTTTGGGTCGTGCTGAGCGGGCAACCCACTAGACAACCTCCATTTGCTCAAGTCCCCTGGAAAAAAATCCAGTAGTGATAGGTTCCATTTCAAACCAACAGGGGAAAATAACAAGTATTCTTAACCAAATGGAAGCCAATGACTCAGTTGCCCAAAGGGTCCAAAGGGTTGGCCTCTTGGGGCCACTAAAGCTGGCTTCCGAGTAGGCGAAGCCAAATCGATTGATCCAAAGCTGGTGCTGAACTGGGAAATCACTCGCTCAAACTTCGGGCGATGGACCGAACCTTGGCCCAGACAAAAAGAGCCCGGAACCCGCGCCCATGGAACCTGCTGAAAGGGAGGCCTGAAGACGAGCTCCAGACGGACGAGCTCCAAAGACCCGGTGGGCGTTGGGTTTGGGGGAGCAAGAATTTCAATTTTAGCCGTTCAGTGGGGGAGATGTCAACTAAACCACAAGCAGCAAAAATGGTGGAAAAATGTGTCCCAACAACAACCATGAATAGGGGGTGATTAAAAGCTCCGATGAACATGACCACTGAATTGGGAAAATTACTCATGGTCGTTCGGCGGCCAGGATTCAGGAATATTGATCAACCCCGAAGAGATTTCATAGTGGGATGGCAAGTTCTGGTTGGCGTTTGGAAATAAAGCAAAGTGGATCTAGCCTCATAATGCAGGAAACCTCAAGAACTACACTAACATGGACCTCCTCCTGCTTTAACAGGGACCACCCTCTGCTGACGGGCCCTGTTCGTGAGCGGTTGGTTTTTTTCGTTCTCTTTTGTATACTGCACCACCTAAAACATCTGGTTGGCTTGCTTTTGGCTGCTGCCTCTGCCTTTTTTTCTTGGGCCAGCTGGAACCCAAAAAAAAAACGCCGCCCCGGGGCTCCGGAAAGCTCCGCCATGCCCCCCAGTGCTTAAGCACCTCGAAACCCGAGCCAATTGGGGGCAACCAAGCCCAAAGTTCCCACAATGTACACATGTATATATATATATATGTATATATAAAAAGGCACCCCAAGTATTGCAAACACCCAAAGTCCTCAAACCTGTTGCTTGCGACTAAAGTTGCCCAAACCCAAGAAGTGCCTAAAGTCCACTTGAACTCAGGAAGTGAGTTTAGCAGGCTTAAAAACCAAGGCAACACAGGGTTGGCTCAATGCACAATGGACATTTGGGTGTGGCTCAAAATTAAACAGCTAGGGTTACGCAGGTTTTAGTCTTTGGTTCCATTTGCCAAGGGTGCCATTTGGTACATGTTTTTGAGCCACTGCCATTTCTCCAGAGGGTCGCGGCAAAAAAATGCTTGCCAGCCGAAACACGCGGCGCCGGCCGGTCTGGTCCTCCTGCCAGTTACTTGGTTGCTGGCAAAAAGTTCGGAGCTTCTTCTGGGTTTACTACACACAACCAGAAAGATATCCCCCCCAAAAAAAACATGATCCAAGCCAATAGCAATCGAGCTTACCGCCCAGTCAATGGTTCCCGCGTTCCCGTGCGCCCCCTTGCCCCCTGGAAGCCATCACCCTGCCCAATGTTTGTTTTCCTTGATCTTCCAGGAGGACCCTGGAAAAGCAGGCCTCTGGCCGAAATTCCGTTTGGAGCCAAGATCAAAATCAAGAAGGACTGGTTTTTGCGGGCCCTTGGAAGACCAAGGTTTTTGCTTTTTTAATTAGCAGGCATCTCACCCAACAAAGCAAAACAGGGTTGGAAGCTCATCCTCGGAGGCTTCGTAGCACGCCGGGTCACTAGCGCGATGCACATAAGCCTGGGGAACAACAGACACATGGGCGTGTCTGTTTTCTTTGGGTCCCTCCCCCCCTCCAAAAAATGAGGTTGTCCTTTTGGCGCCCCTTCAAGAACCACAAAAGGGGTACCCTCAAACAAAGACGAGCCTCTTGGAAGGGGTGCGGAAAACCGTGGCATCCCAAAGTCCAAGAACCCTCCCCTGGCGCCTTACGAAAGTAATCTTCATGAAGCTTCGGACATGCTCAACTAGGCTGTCCTCATATTCCCGTAGGTTGAATTCGGGGGCACCCAACCATTAAACCAACTAAAAGGCTACAAAGCCAAGGGCAATTGGATGACTGCGAGCCACCAAGAGACAAAATCCTGCACCTAAGCCTTGAAGGAGTCGATTCCCTGTAAATACCAAGCAACGTTTTGGTTTCAACCATGGTTTCATTTCGTGGTGCGAGACCGAGACTCGCGGATTTTCCTTTCACCACAGGCGAAGCCTCCCAGCGCGAGTAGGTCAAGACCTGGGTGCCCTTCAGGCGTTCGTCCAGCAAGGCCAGACTCCGCGCCTACGAAAGGCAAAGCCAAACTTCCGCTGGTGGCTTCCATCTGCGTTTTGGCCCTGGAAGAAATGAGACGTACTGACGACATCCATTTCGCACCACTTGGAGGTCATGAGAAGCCATTGATTGGTACTTACAGGGGAATCAGTATTCCAGGGCTTCTCAGGTGGTGCAGGATTTCGTGCATCCACAGTATGACTCCCTTTGGAAGCAACACGGAAACATAACACATATTCTTGAGCAAATGGAAGGTAGAACCCAGCCATGTCCCGTGTGAGAGGAAACTGGTCTTTCACCCATGAGCTTGGGAAGATGGCGGGATTCCCAATATTGGGTGAGTCATAATGAAAACCGAGAAGTGTTCAATCGGTCGGGACCCGGAACCATGTGCAATTTATGGCTGTGACTATCCCTTAAAACTTAAACAATTTGAACCAAGCACAAAGGGAGAACGATGCCGATGAACAACTGGGAGGTGCTAAAAGAGGTCTGACAAAACATGAAACGTCAGTAGTTTCAGTTTCCCTGAAAGATTGCACTTCAACAAATCTGGGTGAATTATAATATTTCACCAGCCTGAAACTTGCGGGGGTTGGGAGGCTATTCCCACATAAACATCACCATCTGGGGTGAATTCGGTCGTTATAATTCACCAGGTGTCGTCTTTTAGGGGTCCCAAATATGATGGCGTTCCTTTTCTAGCTCCTCCAGATTTGAGAGGTTAGAACAAGGGTGCCGTTTCTTTTTTCTGTAGTCTATTTTAGTAGGGGAACCCTCCCCAAAAAATGGTAAAAGGGACTACTGGGGGACCTAGTTTTGGTTTCCTCTGAAAACCAAACAAAGAAAACACAAACAAAAAACAAAGTTCCCCGCCGATTGATTGGATTCGCCCCCAAAGCGTCTCCATTACTGGCGATCCTGCCGAGCCGCTGCTTCCTTGCACTGCATCACCACTTGGTGGCTGCTTTCCCTTGGTCTCGCGGCAATCTCTCGGCACTCTTTGGGCTCAAACCCGCCAAAGTCCTCCCAGGTTGACGTTGGAAGGGGAGCAAACATTAATGTGTAGCAATTATGTGGTTGGATTTCAGCCACTAAACCACAATAAGCAAAAATGTAAAATGTTTCCCAACGACAACCGGTTCAAACCCGCCAAAGTCCTCCCAACATTCAGCGGGGTTTGCCGTTGCGATGAGCAGCTACCCGTGAACAGGCTACTTCTGCACTACCCGGAAAGCTGCCGTCTTCTTCCGCAAGCAGTGGAAAAGGCAAACCATGTTTATAAGACGCTGTTCAATAACATGGTGTGTTCCATGTGTAATCCTTCGCTTTGCAAACTGGAAATTCTATAAACCGGCCAGGTTTATTCATCCGCGGTTAACATGAGTAGAAGTTATTGGGCCGTATCAGGTCCATCAGGTCCCTTCAAACTGAGGGCAAGCAAGCCATGTAAAAGTCATCAACACCTGGCATGTAGGCCAAGACCACGGCACATGGTGGAAGTGCGCGTGCTTCATGTTGGCGGTTTGACATGGACTTGTTTCGATGTTTCCAGCAAATAACACCATGCCTTTTTTACCCTGTCGGTATGTCACCCCGGTCGAACAAAATCACTGTTATACCCCTTTCCCATCCCAGGCCGAGCCATTTGTATAGGGCTGGCAAAGCCAATGGCCGTTTTATCGAGGCCGGCTGGCCCCAATGGCCGTTTTAGCAAAGCCGATGGCCGTTTTATCAAGCCGGCCAAGCCCAATGGCCGTTTTATCAAGGCGGGCCAAGGCAAGGCAGCCATTCGTTTACCAAAGTCAGGTCGGTTCAGTACGTTAAAACTACCCCCAGAAACAGTCAAGATGTTGCGAAGGCACCCAAACAGAGAAGAAAAGGGGGGGAACAACTCTTTTGCTTTCTGTTGGTGTGAACAAGCCACCGGATATTCCTACCTGACCCGACCTAGGGCGGGGAGTCGTAGGGAAAGGGGTTGCCAACGGGAATCCCAGGGTCCAATTCCACATAGGTCAGAAAGATTGGGGTCTGAAAGGTGGACTTTCTTTTGCTTCCATTTGCTTGAGCCCCCTGGAAAACAAAAATACGTCCAATAGTGATAGATTCCCTTTAAAACCAACAAGGACAAAGAACAGATATATTCTTAAGCAAATGGAAGTTAGGCATTTCCCTTGTCGCCCAACAACCGTCTTCTTTTCAGCCATGTTGAATGTTAATATCACCATTTTATGGAGCCCCTAGTGCCAGCTAAATTGAAGTACCCAAGCTGCTTTTGGGCCCCATGTTGCCAAATGCTCCACCCTTTGGAGTAAGCCAGTACGCCGCGACAGCATTACGTGCTGTCCAGGATCCAGTCATCCTTCAGCTTTGCGGCGATGTCTTTTTCATGCTTGGTCATATCCCTGACTGACGCAGGCTGGCCGTGGCACGCATCTAAGAGCCTAAATCAAAAGTAAAAGCGCAACTAAACATCGTGGACATGGAAGCAAAATGAAACAGGTGCTCGTTTGCTGCCGGATCTACTCGCCGTCCCACTCATCCAGATAGAAGGATTTCTTGTCGAGGTCGTAGGAAAAGTCTTCATCTGACCTCGCGCCCTCCTGGGAGTAAGGCCAACTGCGTGGCTTTTGAGGATCCACTCCACTCCTGTAGGATATTCTAAGCATTTAAAAAGAACCAACCGGGGGAAGAACAGCTGAAATCCACAAAAAGCGCATCCGAACCGTTTTCTAGAGGCACAGTTAGAACCACCAAAGGTAAATAGACCAGAACTGCCTCTTTCCCCCAACTGTTGCTGATTCTGGCCACCATTTAGCAAGACTTTAACTATGCAAACTATGCAAAACCTGACAGAAGGCCGCCCACCCAAAATGCAAAAATTACTCGCCAAAGCTACCGCAGCTTCTTTCGCGACTCTGGGGAGAACATTTCTTGGCAGACTGCGTGAAACACATGTTTCACGACGACAAAGAAAAGCAACGCTGCAAGCAATACATCGAATCAGCGCGGAGCATCGCGAAAAGATCGCAGCAAACTGGCGTTTGCATTGTTTCGCGTTCTTGGTCTCTCCTTGTAACTCTAGCTTTGCGACAACCTTGCGGAAAAGAACACGGAGCACCTGCTGCACGGAACCAATATAGGTAATCAACGAGCCTTGCCGTGTGTAGGATAATTTTCATCATGTATGCCCGTCAGGCAAGTTTCCCGCTCTATTGAAGCAAGTCAAAGTGACACAGTGAGCTTGTCTGCTTGCTGTTGACCCCTCTGCAAAAAGTTAACCTTTTTGCGGGTTTAGTGGAAAACGCCTTGATTCCCCAAAAAGTTAAAGTCTAAAGATCAAACCCAACAGCAGTCAAGTTTTCTGGTCCAGCGCTGCTGTCAGACCAGCACCCATACCTGACCCGACCCACTCGCAATGCCGGTGCATGAATGCCTGCGTGCGTGACGAGCCTCGCCGGACGTCCAGCCAACAATCTGTCACGTCCAATGCCACGTGTCAACTGCGAACCGCGGCGTCTTCGAGAACAAGCCCTGGTTTGGCGCTGAAAATGGCAAACGCGTTGACAAAATTCGGTGCGTGCGTTCCTTGAGTGTCTTTTTCTTTTGCACAGAGTGCGTTAAGAGTTGTGATCTGCACGTGGCGCATGTGCACTCGTGACATAATTCCTCACTGCATGTCATGGCAGCAGGGTGTCGCGCTGCCTGCGACCCCACAACATCTACACGCCATGATCAAAAAAGCGGCGCCTGCCGCGATGTCCCTGCAAGGTACTGCACCTGCTATGGAAACCGCACGTCGTGATTCAAAGTGCTGCGCCTGCCACGGAACTCAGCGCACCAACATCCCAAGTAATGCGCTTGCCGCGAAATCGAGGGTGAGGCGCCGGCGACGACATCCACATTCCATGCTTCAAAGTGCCGCGCTTGTGTCAGAAACTGAGCTCCCGACGTAGCAAGACACGAGCAAAGTGCGTTCGAACACGACGCGCCTGCTAGAATGCACAACCTTCCAAGACTCTGCCTCTGCGCAAAGAAACAGCGTGTCACTTCTCAACAGTGATTTACGCACGAGCGTGAATGCAAATATGTTTGCAAGTCACAGACATCACACGGCCTGCACTTCCCCCAACGGCGCGTCAAAAGGTGGTTTGTTTTGGAACTTTTGGCTAAAAAAGGGCCAACTCAGGAAAATCACAAGGTCAAAAGGTGGATTCGCTTTGGGCAAGTGAGCAAAAAAGTTCAGATCCTGGAGCAACAGTTCTGCCGGTCCTTCTCCATCGCTTTCTGAAACTTCTTTTCCGCATTCTTCCAAGCCTGGCGCTGGCCTGCCTATTTTTTTTTGCTCCGTACCCTTGGCCTTTCATTTGCTTCAGCCCCCTGGCAAAAAGAACAAAACACATCTTCCCGGCGATAGATAATCTTTAAAACCAGGGGAACATAAAACATAATCATTTATCCAATAAAAGGGGGCGTTGGGGAAACCAAAGCAAAGCTTTTCTTTTGGGTGGCGGGGTCGCCACATTCAGTCAAGAATTGGAGGAATCGCTGGTTCACCAGATAGTCTTGCTGCCTTGTGCAAATGGATGCTCTTGACTGACTGGGCTGGGTGTTAAGAAGGGCCAGGGCCCCGGCCCTTGACAACTCAAAAGGAGGTTGTTTAGACAATCACGCTTCACGGGCCTTCAAAGAGATTGGCCAATTTGGGTGGAATGCAAGGATCGCCCCGAAAGACACGGTGGATGCCCTAAATATCCCCCCCATTTACGGGAATAAGCCAACATCTGTGACACCAAAGCCGAATTTCCATCGCCATGATCACTTCACCACTTTAAGCGAGTCGGCTGGTGATTAGCGCCAGCTTCACCTCCCCGATTTCCCGCACGAGGGTTTCTATCGGAAAATGGTCGCTCTGTTTTTTCCAAAGCCCGACCGCAAATGAGCATACCCCGAATGGACAGAACATGGGTGTCCCTTTGAATCGGGGACCCAGGAGTGACACATTCCCTTTAAAACCGACAGGGGAAAACAACGATATAGATACCTGGAACCTCCATCGTAGCATAAATTTCTGCCTCCCCCCTTGTTCGATACCAAAATTGACTCGACGTAGCACTTTTTGCCTCCCATTCGCTTCCGAGCGCTTTTTGACGATTCGGGCAGAAATCCCATTCGGCCGTGTTTTCTTCTTCCCCATGGTCAAGTTGCCGCCAAAACGAGCGCAAAAATGTGCAAAAAAAGTGCAAAACGAGCGCAAATCGGCGCAAAAAAGCGCAAACGAGCGCAAATTCAAAAAATGCTACGAATCGCAGGTACCAAATTGCATTTGCGCGGATGTCTCGAGCACTTTCTGTTAAAACGAGCGTTTTTTTGAGAAGAACGCGTCACGAGCAAAAATATTTCGTAGCAAAAAATAAGGTAGCAATGGAGGCTCCAGGTATTGTGTACATATATCTGTATAAACTATTAAACATACTATATAGATATATGCATATATATAGAAATATATATATATATAGATACAACAGGGATCCTTACATTATACACTTGAACATTGCCTTGTAAATGGTGGTTTCCCTTTATTTTGGTGGAAAAGGCAATGATCCAAATGGGCAAAATGTATCTTCTAAGGAGCCCTGTGCATCATATGCATATACATCAAAACACAAGCTTGAGCACAGGGCAACCAAAACACCAAATGTTTCACAGCCATGGCCTTGTGGATGGCGATCGCGAAGACCATTCCCAGGGTCCTCAGTCTCCCGATGGCGTTGCACCCGAAAACAACAAAACGTCGTACCCCTCCCGACATGCGGGTGGCTTGGCTGTGGTTGTCAAAACCGTTTTGGATCCCAGGTTGTTTGGTAGGTGAATTCACCACCCATTTTAGAACCTATTTTAGTAAGGATTGGGATGTTCACTGGGAGTATGGGATTTTGACCCATGGCCGCTTGAGTGTTATACCTTGTATGCTTGCTTGGTTGCTTACTTTGTTGCCTGGCTGGTTGCCTCTTTGTGTTCGCTTGACATCTGACAAGGGGCTCAGATCTCACTGGTTTGAGTAAAGGGCTGACAGGCTGATGTTGGGTGGGGTTCCGATTCACTTTGGGTGGGTCTGGGGCTTAGCTTAGAGCTGAGTTTGTGTTGGGTGTGGTGCTGGTTTGGCGGTAGCTTTAGGTTTGCTTCAGGGGTGTGGTTACGCGAGTTTTGGGCTAGTTTTGGCGGATTGGGGCAACATTGCAAAACCCATCATAACTAGCACACAACTCACTTAAGCACATAGTAAAATAAAGCAAGCCGTAGGCCGCTAAACCAGCAGCACACCTGCCCCAAATCAGCTCCAAGCCCAAAAACCTCCGCCCAACAGCAGCCTTCAGGCCTCGAAATGAACCCCCAAACCAACCCAAGACCCGCTTAGTTTGAGCCAGCCTAAAAAAAAACCACCCGACTTAGCCCCGAGCAACTCCCAACTGCCAATCAGGGCCAACAAACAACCCGAGACCTTAGGTCCAAGTGCCACAGACCGACCAACCAGCCAACCAGACCAGACCAGACCCAAGAAAAACCAGCCCTAGGAAAAAGGACTCTATCCCAGGCCCATCCCACTCTTTTTCAGGGTGCCGCTCTTGAAGAGACGCCAAAGGGAAAACCAAAACCGAAAACCGATCACCATTTTGGGGCCAAGGAGACACACCCAGTTGCACCAAAAAATAAAAGGCCTCACGCGGCCATCGGTTGGTCCGCTGGCAGCTGAGGCGCTTCGGGTCGATCTCCGAAGCACCGTCCGGAAGAACTAGGCCGTCCTCCAGGGGCTTCTGGGAGTAATGCGGCATGTTCTCCGCGCCTCGGCGACCAAAACACGTGCAAAGACGTGCGAAAGCCCCGCACAGTGCGCGTGCAGAAGGGCCGCTCAAGGGTGTCTTGAGAGTTTGAGGTTCAAGGGACACCCCCTTCCCGGGGAAAAAACAAAAAAACATCAAAAGGAGAGGAACAAACAGGGGGGGGACCTCAGAAAATATCTGGGCGACTTTGCTTGTGGAATCACCTGGGGGTTTTGGGAATGAACCCGAAGGGGATGCCAAAGAAAATTTCTTGATGGGGGTTGCGTGGGATTTTCGGAATGAACCGCCTGCGAGGCACCTTCTCAAGCTTTGTTCCCCTACTTGCACTGCTTAGGGCACCCAACGTAGCATTCTGAGTCAGCATTTGCACTTGGGTTGAAGATGTGCCTCGGCCTACGGCTTTCTGAGTTCCCTACCTCCGAACCACACAGAAAGGAAATGGGGGGTATGCAGCCTTTGCCCTACAGTGGCTGTATATGGGTCTGTTTTTTCTTGAATGGGATCCTTCTTTGTTGGTTTAAGGAGGAAACTCAAAGGAACAAAACAAAAAATTAACTGGGGTTAAGAAAAGACATACCTAGGCCAGAACCCAAAAAACCCTTTGGGGTGGCTTGGGAGTGGCGAAAACCGTCCAGGACACTCAAGACACCCACAGGCTGAGGGCTTGAGGTGGGCCTCTGACATACCACCCATTTGATTGCGCTGCTGGTGGCGCCTTGCCGCAGCTGCCTTTGCAGCAGGTAACCATATTCTTTCCTTGTGGTGTCTGAAGGAAGAAGTGGTTCCCTTGGTTGCCTGCTACGCCGGTTGCAGGGAAATGGATGTGTGTGTGTACATATGTATACATATTGATATATATATATATATACATATCTCTTAACCCCACCAAATGCAGTGTGGGCCCTCAGACCCAAGCAAGAGCCCCCATGTGCCGGTATGGCAAGCGAAGCCTCAGGGATTTTTACCAATAAATAGACCCAAGAAGGTCCAGTGCCTAAAGTAAAAGGTGGCCAGAAGCCATAATTGTCCGACGGAGCAATCGAAAGCACCTGGCAAACCAAAGTCGCAACTTTGAGAATTGAAACGGTTGCATTGACTCTCTTTGGCCGCATACCTTGCCGTTGTAGCCTCCCTCGCTTTGTTTTTCACCAGGTGCCATTGTCTTCTTCAATCCAAATGTTTAGCCAGGCCATGCCAGGCCCAAACCCGGCGGATTCGCAGGCAGATGTTCCGTCCGGCCTAACATGTTAAACTCACTTTGGAGGAGACCCCAGACCAACAGCGATGCGTTGGTACTGTAAACAGCTTGTGTGGTGTTTTCAAGAGTGCCCTTTTCAGGCCTCTTGGGCGGCTTCTTGACATACCCATGTCCTCACGCCCTCGGCTTTCTATGTTTGCTAGCATCCCACCGATCGGACGAGCGGCACCACTCGGGAAGCTCTTGGCCTTCACCCACCATGGCAGTGATTGGGCTCTTGGTGCTCTCGCTGATCCTCAGTCGTGGCCCCAAGCCTGAAATAACGCACCACCCTTTTCGGTAAAGGCGTGCCAAAGAAACGGCGCTCCGTTTTCTGCAGCCCCCTGCTGAAAAAGAACAGAAGCAAGAAACCGGCAAAACATGGCTGTGGGTCAAAAATGGGTACCCTAATGGAACCCTGGTAAATGGCAAAATGGATCAAAACCTGCGGTCCCCTGGTGCTTTAATTTTGACCAAACCCACATGCCACGAACAGTGAAGTGTATGCAGGCTCAAGGGGTGAAGAAGTCCATCTCCCCACGTCGTGGAAATCATTGGGCTGATTCAGCGCTATTGGCGACTAATAGAAAACTATTCCAGGGTTTGCCTTCTCCACTGGAATGAACAGGCTCCCTTGAACCCAGTTTGAACAGCTTGCTGGCTGAGTTGCGCTTCCCCACGCAAGTTCAATCAGAGGCCTTTGGGGGGACAGCCGGTCAGCCAAGTCTTGAGACATGAAGTTGTTTGTTTGTTGTTTTCTTCTTTGAGGGGTGGTTCTCAGAATGGTGGACTCTTTGTAGTTTGTGTTTGAACCGAAACTGAAAGGGAATCTCATTTGTTTGGTGCCCAAGGATAAGAACCCCCATATCATTGCTGGAACCAAGCGGCGTCTCCTCATCCGCGATCTCCACGTTGTCGGCTGTCAGAAGCCTCCCATAAAAAAGGTGTGCGTCCCTTTCTTGGGGGGACACCCGCCTGGGGAAGACTCAAATCGCTTGAAGGGGGCGGGGTTGGCGGCTATCAGCAGATTTGTGAGGAGGCTCACAGGAGGGCTTCCCCCTCTTTTGCTAGCTCAATGTTGACCCCCGGATTCATGAACCCATCCTGGCAATGGGGGGGAAGTTCCCCTCCATTCCAGAAACAAACAAAGGCTATTACATGTTTTTTTTTGAAAAAATGACCAGCTCGCAAAGGGTAGCCCCCTTCAAGGCTACCCTCTGATTCACACCAACCCTCTGATTCATCAAGTCTCTCTGCAACCCTAAAAACTGAGAAAATGCAACTTCCCTTACATTCCTATTCCAGTCCTATTGGCCAAACAGGGGTCCACAAAAAGACTGGAGAGGACGTAGGTCCGGATGAACCCGGAGCCCCACAAACCACAAAATCGTTCTCTCCAAACCTTGTCGACATTAAAAGAGTCGGCTTTGGGCAACTGAGAAGGAGAACCTAGAAGATATTTTGAGAACCGCAGATGCAGTCTGGTTGTCGACAAAAAAAAGACCGTCTGTGATACCAAAATTGGACCAACGGAGTCCCCTGGCCACTCGCAGAAAGTGGAACAACCAGTCAAAAGAACAGGCTGTTACCGCGAGGTTTTGCCATACCCTAGTGGCATGAATTCTTTTTTCTTTTCGGGAGCACCTGGCCGTCCGGAATGAAATTTTCCCCTCCCGAACCGATTGAAATCTGCATTGTGTGAATTCTAAGTTTGTTGCTTCACATGTGTTGATCTAGCAAGCGGCTCGGATGCGCTTTTTGTGGACTTCACCTGGTCTTCCCCTTGTTGGTCCCTTTTTTAGTCATCTTTTAGTCGAGACCGGCTTGCGGTTTTTCGGCGCCTGAGGCGGGCGGGGGTGATCCTGAGCTCCTTTCCCACCAGCTCTCGGAGCTCTAAGCCAATCCCCTGGTAGTCCGAATTCTCGAGCACCGCCTGGCACCATCGAACCCAAGCTTTGGGAAGTGCCCGGTTCGATCTCCCTTGAGGGGAAAGAGGGGCGCCACGGAGTTCATTTTCGAAATCGGGTTTCCATGGAAACAGGGACAAGCACATGTTGTTTGGGGTTGGGGTTCAAGGGCAACCTCAAACAAAAGCAGGAACAAGGGCGCCACGATTGTTTTGGGCTGAAACCCCGCAAAAGAAAAGAACATAAGGAAGAAAGGAAGCAACCCACTGCAGGTCTGCGTTAACCAAGGGCACTGAAGAAGAAACAAGTGTGGGTATGTCTTGAGATATTGTCGGATAGGGACAATTCCGGAGAAAAAATAAACTCCGACAGGGCTAGCCTCAAAAAAACGCACACATGTATCCCCGTTGTTGTTTTTTTGGTGCTTCCCCCTGCGCTTGAAATGAACATGATGGACCCTGGAATGACTCCCCTCTAGATACCAACCAACAGTGGTTTCAACCATGGTTTCAAAGTGCTGCCATTCTTCTGGATTCGCAACCATCCACAGTATCTGATATCTCCTGCCTAGGTCCTGCAGTAGAGAGTTAGAATACGGGTACCCTTTTTTCTGTAGTCTATTTTAGTAGGGGAACAGCCAAAAACAGGGGTGAGAAAGGGCACTACTGGGGGACCTAGCTGCTCTAGGGCGAGAAACGTGAAAATCCATGCAGGCCAAACGTGGCGCAAAACTTCTCCCGGCCTTGCCGCTGATCAGGGCCACGCTCAGCGGCGCCATCAGCGGATCCGCCAACCCCAGGTGCTTGGCGCTTGAGCTGAAACGATCACCGAAGCAGAATGCCATAAGCGGGTACACTTGAGTGAAACATAACATGTTGCTTATCTAGGTCCTCCAGTAAAGAAAGAGGTTAGAACAAGGGTACCCTGTTTTCTGTAGTCTGTTTTAGTAGGGGAACCCTCCGCAAAAAAAAACAAGTGAGAAGAGGGCACTACTGGGGGACCTGGTTATTTAAGGGCAACCACATCATCTACATTCGCCAAAAAGGGCAATTGCTGCAATGAAGGTCAATAGTCTCATATCAACAAAACCTGAAAGTGCTCAAAAGCCAAAAGCATATGCTACCCGTGACACGCCAAGCCCTCATATCGGATGAAAACGTGAGGGGTTCCACGAATCTGTGCAGGTGTTGACTTGCGCAAGCGTATTCCCGCAAATGGCTTTCACCCTGGAACCACTTCACTCCCCACAAGCAAATTGTATATACACTTTATACAGTGGCAATAAATATTAGTTTTTGACCCACTTGAACCACTGAAAGTAGGGAATTCGCTTCGGGGGGGAGTGAAATCCATCTTGGGGAACTCGCTTGGTTGCACCACACATTTCTCCAGCCCCTCGCCTCCCGGCCAACTGATATATGCCGGAACTCAGTGGTTCAGTGACCCTGGAACAAAAAGGGGGAACCCTTCTTCGGGAAGACCGTTTTTAGTGGGGCAGCCAAAGCAAAAGATAGAAAAAGGGAAACACAACTGTCAGAAGGCACGCCGGAACAAACTGACGCAACCGAAAGGTTGGGCATCCGAGTCTTCATAGGCCTTTTCTTCCAAGCAAACTACCAAACCCGAGCCCTGTGCCGGATTTGGTGGATTGGACAAAGGGAAGCCACATGGATATGTGGCAACCATCTGGCCAAACCACCAAAGGGCTTGGATTGCTTGGGTGTTCGATTCGCCAAGCCTGAGTGGAAATAACAGTTGTCAGCGGGTTGTAACCCAGGTGGCCAAACACTGAAAAACTTGGCCGAGCAAAGAAACTCAGATGTGCCAAACCGAATCCCAGATCAGCTACTGAGCTGATCGAATAACTCCAACACAGGACCCTTTCACTGCCCCAACGGGCCAAGTACCTCATATTTGCGGGCCAAGAACCTTATATATTTGTGGACTTGAGGAAAGAACCCCCTTGCACCAAGCCCAAAACTGAAAATTTTGGGCCCCTCTGGGCTGTACAGTGGGGAAGTAGCTATGGCAAACAACATCCCTTGAAGACTTTCAAACCTGGTAGCAACTCATTGCTTGCTCGGTCTGGTCAAATGCTATGAATCCGATGGGTTCAAAGCAATCGAAGCCCTTGTTTTGGGCAACTCCCTTTCATACCCCTGTCTTCGAGCCAGCATTTGAGCCAGCCAAAGCACGGCACGGGGCATGAAACTCCAAGAAAACAAAACTTTGTGGCCAAGCAATTCGTCGAATTGGGTGGGTCGAAGTTGCCACTACAAGGTAAAAGAAACTTTGTGGCCAAGCAATTCGAATCAGCGGGGGGGGCCAGGACCCTGTTTCCGAGACTCCGCCCAGCCAAGCGCCCCACGAATGTGCCGGCGCCTGCAAGGCTGCGAGGAGGATCCGTGTCCCAGATCGAAACCCAGTTATCCCCACATGGGCAGCTCGTCTTTTGAGGTTAGGTCCTCCAGATTTGAGGGGTAGTCTGTTTTGTTAGGGGAACCCTCCCGCAAAAATGGGCAAAAGGGCACTACTGGGGGACCTAGCCTCTGTTTTTTTTTTTTTTTTAATAGGGAGACCAAAAGATCTTCAGCATTTTGTGGGTTCCCCAAAAAAGGAAAGCACCATCCCACAAGCCAAATGCGCACTTGCAACTCCAAGGCTGAAAGAATGAGCACTGCAAGCCTGGAATCGAGGGTTTGGGTACGACGACATGCTTCCTACTCCTGGGTATCAAATCCGGTGTTCAACAGTAATCTTGACCCCGGATTTATAAACCTCTGCTTGATTATTGATCGGGGTGTCCCCTTGTAGTGGGGAATCAAACAACTTTTGGAGGGGCCACAGCCCTACTGTGGACGCAATCCTGCACCACCTACAGAAGCCCTGGAATGAGGATTCCAGTGTAAATACCAACCAACCACGGTTTCCCATAGTTTCCGAGTGCAGGGTTTGGTCCATCAGTATTAAGAGGATGGGTTTCTTCATCCGTTCAAGAGTACCCGTGGCCAGAACGGGATCCGCATCTCTGCTCAAAGGGACTATGGGGGCTGAATTTACAGCGCCGAAATAGGCCCAGCCTACTCTTACCACCGGCCCTCAATGCGGAAAATTGCTCACTTCATCCAAGAAGTGAAAGTCTAAAGATCCAACCCAGTAGCAATCAAGGACATAGGTGGCCTTGTGGAAAAATACATGGCCCTGGTACATGGAACAAAACTATTTTTAGACAAACTAACCTAAAAAGGACGCCTATGATCAAGGAACTTGCTCTAAACCGTGGGAAATCGAAGGCCGCAGGCAGCCGGGCCTACGTCTACTTGCCAGCCTCTTCGCATCCCTTCGGACAGTTCAGAGTGACGCAGGGTAGGGTTTGAGTACCTTTTTTTTTGGCGAGGCTCACCTTCTGAGTGGATTGGCCCTAAGAAAGTCCAAACTTTATTGCCACTAAAGTGGTCATACCAAAGAGTTCAAGTCCATGAACTCAGGAAGTGCGAAGGGCGTGGGCACTTCCCGAATTCAGGTCCATTTCAAAGTGCCAAGCTTGATTCTGTAGGGGAGCTGCACAGAGTCCCAACCTGCGATGCACAGTGTGCACATCTGAACTTTTAAGAGCAGCTCCCAAAACCAGCAATCACTACCCTTGGTTCTACATGGCCATAGCAAAGCCCATGCGTCTAATACGGGCCTTTCTGTAACCCCAGGAAACTTGAACGGAGTTGAGCGAACCCGGGAGCCCCGTGTCATAAACCCATGTTTCCATGTTTGTTGTTGGGAGGGGCTGTTTCAAATGTTTTGGTTTGGAGGAACACCTCTATTCTGCCAATATGGGATTAACATGAGCCCTTATCTAACAATCCTGGAAGTGGACTAGGGGCATCTCCATGACGATAGCAATTGTCTTAGAATCTCCACTTCCAGGACTGGGAAGAGGGTACTTGAGTGGCTCACGGTCACTCAGCGACCCAAAGGACCCAGAAATAAACGTCTAATCTGTTGGAACAATGAGATGGACCGCACCATGGAAACCAAAAGATGGAAAGGTCGATTCGCCTTGGGCAAGTGAGGTCAGGGCACCTTTTTGTAATCCCCTGCATTTCCCGTCTTCCATCGCTCTTGGATTCTTGTTCAGGGCCGCAAAAGAGATCGGACCTGTTACAACGGTAAAAGCACATGGCATAAACCCCTGGACGGAATATGGTGTGACCATGTGGGAACGTAAAGTGAAGGTAAATCGTGCATCAGCCTTCACTCAATTGCTTCGCCAGACATAGACCCCCAGCAAAAAGTTAATTGTTTGCTTCCTGCATTGCAATGGTCCGCTACGTAGCCAGCTAAAAGCGATGAAGTGTTTGCTGGTAAAACTGGAAAATGAAGGAAACCCCACGAAACTGCAAAAACGAGACAAGGGTAGTGAAGTCAGTCAGGCTACACTTGCCCAAAGGGCCTTGCGAAGTAACAACATGTCAGCTTCCAGGGCCATGACTAAGGCCAAAGGTCTTCTTTGTGCCAGCACAAAGGGCTCAGATATGCTCACAGTGGATTTCCATGGCGGGCATCCTTTGTTGGATACGTTGAAAGGAAAAAAAGAACCCAAAAGCCAAAAAGCCGTCAAAACAGAGGGGGCAACTGGGAAGGAATCCAATGCACACATCGACTCCACGCTCGCTGCCTTGTTGCCTCAGCCGGATCTCACGGCTCGCAGCAGCCGGGGGGGGGGGGGCTCAGGCAGTCCGGACCGAAAACACCTGTCCTGGGCAACTGCCCCTCTTTCCAACTGAATGCTGCGGATGCTATTTGCGAGGTTTTCACTGAAAAAAACGCCCGGTTGCCGACATTGGTGACCCGTTTTGTCTTTGAAAAGGCTTCCCATTGCACAGGCATCCCTTTTGGGCAGGGCCTCACATCACAAAGGAAGGGACTATTTGGATTTGGGGTCGTATTCGCAAACTGGCATTAAGGCCTTCATCGTATGTGGGCTCGTTCTACTCCAAGTATGCTCACTATTTCAAATTAGGGAAACCAAATCTGCGAAACCAACAGGTTAAAAGGTCGATTCGCCTTGGGCAAGTGAGTTGAAGTTCACGGCGAAAGGGATGGCCAGCCCAACCAAATAAACAAAAGGTCTGTACAATGGAAAAGCTGGCTGACTTGAGAGGTCAGAATAAGGGAACCGTTTCTTTTTTCGGTAGTCCATTTTAGTAGGGGAACCGAATCTCTCCCCAAAAAAGGGGAGAGGAGCTGACGAGCCAGGCACAGCCTGCCCGCCTAGCTCTCGCGAGTTCCTGCTAGTTGATCCCAAACCCAAGTGGATCGTACCTTTATAGCAGCCAAGGGAACCCGTACCCAACTAAAAAACAACAGGAACAGAGCTGGGGCGATTTTTTCGGCAGTGACCAAACGAGAAAGAGACCCAGGTCGCTTGTTTTGAAGAGCACATCCGAAAGGACCCCCCCCATTTTTGGGATCCCCCCGACAAAAGAGACACATGGCCCCCATCTTGGTTGCTGCTGATCCCTCTGCAAACAGTTTAACTTTTTGTGGGTTTAGTGACCACCCCTTTGATTTGCAAAAAAAAGTTAAAGCCTAAAGATCCAACGCCATATGCTGAAAAGCAAATTTGAAGCTCTGGCTGAGGCCTCGGCAGCCCAGCTCGGATGCCCAGAATGTAGGCGATGGCTTGGCCTCGATCGAGTGCTCCCTCCACCCACCGATCCAGATGGGCCAAGCAACCGAACTTCTTGTGTGCCACCTAGCTCCTCCAGACTTGAGAGGTTAGAAGAAGTTGGTACCAGCTTTTTTCTGCAGTCCATTTTAGTAGGGGAACCTCCCAACCAAAAAAGGCTTAAAACGGGCACCTAGCTGGGGCACCTAGCCACTCAGATGGCCCAAGCCCGAAAAGTGCCCGAGTCCAGGAACTCGCGAGAATGGCAATGAAACCACACTAAAAGGGGGCACACCCCCGATCAAAATCAGCCAAGGCTGCATTTTGTCTGGGGTTCCCAGAGGAAACCGAAAGCAAGGGTGAAGGGATCCTTTGTCTAAACCACCCACGGCATCCTTGGAGTTAAGGCCAAGAAACTTGGCAGGGAGGGAAATGAGAAGAAGCCGTTCACCAGATGTTCTACCGAATTGGTTGGATCATTTAGGAACAGCTCGGAGCAAATGTGTTTTCCCCCATCTGGGTCGCAAGGCCTCAGGGTTTTGTCTTGCGACTGGCTCCCAGCATGGGCCCAAGAAGCCTTCCAGGTGCCATCTTTGCCAGTGAGCAACTAATGAGCAACAAATGACAATACCACCGGCGGGGCAACCGCTGATAGGACATCCCATGCGAACCATACGAAGTGATACAAAGTGAAAGGGAGCGGCATTTGCTCACTTCCTGAGTAAATGGGCCCAAAAAATAACCGAACTTCTAGTTTGCCACTAAAATCTTGGTTACTGACCCCTCAGGAAAAAAGATCTTCATGTATTCAAGAAGCAAAAACAACTTGATCTCAACCAAAAAGCTTGAAGCCTAAAGATCCAACCCAGTATCAATCGCGTTTTGCGATGGTCGACCAAAAGGGCCTTCCCAAACCTAAAAAGTGACTAAAGTCCACGAACTCAGGAAGTGGGGAAATGACAGGTCCACCAACCAACCAACCAACCAACCAGCCAGCCAGCCAG